ATAGAGTTTTTTTTGTTAAGACTTCAAAGGACCTGATCGGCTGCACGGTCCCACTTTGGCTGATGGCCGAGATCCGCACCCGCAGATCGGTGGGCGGGGACAGGTGGATTGGGGGGCCCGGAGATCTGTTTTTATGTCACAACTAGAGACTTGGGGAGTTGAAGCCCAGAACATGTCGTGTTTTCAGTTTTTTTCAGCTCGGGCTTATAGGCCCAAGGGCCCCCCCTTTAAAGGTGCTCAATGCCACCTGGCTAGGCGTGACAGGACACGCATCAGTCCACGCGATGTGAAAAGATGTGTAGCTGGCGTGCAAGCCGTGCAAGCACTGCTGCAATGACCTCAGTCAGGTCGCAGGTGATGTGGGTTTGTTTTGTGGCTAAAGACTGTTGGGTGCAGCAGGGTGCAAGTAGCAAGTAGCTCTGTTTAGAGTTTGAATCCACAAATTCCATTTTTCTGTGACCATTTGCAACTCAAAGGCGTGTGCATATGAATATGTATATACAGTATGCACTGCAGGGACTAGGGATAGTAGGTATGATCCGTCCTACCACCGTTCGTGTTTTTTTCATGAAATTCGTTGGTGTTTATGTGGGATCTCACAGCATTTGACCAATTGCTGGCGGCATTTCCGAATTTCCCAGCCCTTTTCGGATGACAAGACGCTTCATGACTGGTGATCTCCCATGGGATCCCACAAGATCTCAGCAGCTCGGATAGGGTAGGGATCCCATGGGTGACCTGCGCCTTGGCGCCGCCTCAGCCTTCGCCTCTGGAGAAGTTTGGACGACGAGACATTCCGCGAGCCAAGGGAGCATAGTGTCCGGTGCCACCAAGGCAGATGGTCGCGCTGTAAGTGCCGGCGCAGCATCTCAGCCAGAAGACTAGTCACCAGATTTCGTGGTCAGTACCTCGCGTAGGCCTACGTTTTTGGCTCGCTTAGGCCTACGTCACAAACACATGATTACATTTGCAATAGAAAGATATATCGATATATCCGAACATGAATTCGACAGACTTGCACAAGTGGATGAAAGATGATCATCGGGACATTCTGTATCTCGAGTAAGCCCAGGTTGCCCTGTCCCAAGATTGTTAACAGGAAAGGATCCTAATATGTTGTATTGTCCTCACTGTCCCCAGTCCTCTGTCCCCCCTGCAGCTCTAGTTACTAGTTGTCCCCACTGTCCCCAGTCCCCATGTGATCCTTTTTGTAGCTGTTTCCATGTCTATGCAATGCTTAGTAGTGTACTGTACATGTATATCATGTATGTGCCTGTAGATCACTTAATTCATTTCATCCATTGCGCCACTCCGTGGCTCAAGACATGGTAGTATAGCTCCATTAAAAATGACGCGCTGCTGCTCTTCGGTGTGACTCATAGGTGTTAGGTCTTAGGACTGTATCTAGCCCTAAAACGGGGATTGCTACCTCACCCCAGTCCCGAGTCCCCCCCCGAAATATAAACCCTAAAGGTGTGTAGCTCCAATATGAGTTAGGTCGTCCCCTGTACCTCTAGTTGTCCCGACTGTCCCCAGTCCCTCCCTAAATATAAACCCTAAAGGTTGAATCACATGCTGCTGATTGTCGGCCTAAGTGATCCAAAAAGTCGGCCTTTAAGTGATCCTTGGACTCGATTGCCTGGACATGTTCAGCAGCCATCCCATCTTTTGGGACCCTTGACCCACAGCTGGATTTTAGGATTGCGATGGGGTGATTCAATGGATTGATTGAAGCCAGAAATGAGAGTAAATCGCGGGTTTTCCCTTACATTTGCCCTTCAGCCAATTCTTGAAGTGACGCAGAAAGTGGAGGGAAACAGTGGAGCGCTAAACTGGCTGATGATAGGTAGTTGCTGGCACATGCCATAGACTGCTCCACTTTTTTCCCTAGGACATCATCGCGTGGCCCGGCCACTAGATTTTCAATGATTTTAATGGCCATGATTCCCAAGCTGGACAACATGTCAATGTCATTGGGATGCTGCAAGTTTGTCAGGCCCTACAGTAGATATCTGAGTTGGAATTTGATAGAGGCAACTGTGCCAGTGGCCACTAGCAGAAACACCCGTGTGTAAGTAGCAAGTAACTCTGCTCCAAAGAGCTTGAATTGCAATCCATGTTCTGTTTCTATCCATACCATTTTGAATTTTGCAACTCAAAGGTGCGTGAGAATGTCTATGTCGGAGTATCTCAGGATAGTGTGTTTTTAGCGCCACACAGAGAACCCAACAGCAATCCATTTGGGCTGGTTTGAAATGTGGAAAACCCCCATTTAACATCCAATGGTTTCTCCTATTTCACCGAGAAAATCAAGGGCTAATTGAATGGTTTCCCTTGTTTCCCTTGTTTTCGCTACAAAACAATTTGTCCCAATATAGCGACCACTGGCGATGCAGCAAAACTCTTGACAGGGCACGGCACAGGGCCGACCTGGCTGGCAACTGGCAGGTGGTTCAGGGGAAACCATGGATTCACCCGCCAAATCTGTCTGGTACGATATGCTTGGTGAATGGGAGGTGAACATGGCTAGATTTTTCGCTACTTTGATGGAAACATACCATCCTCCAGAAGGTGAATTGCAGTATGTATATGTATATATATATATATATGTATATATATATATGTATGTATATATATATGTATATATATATATATATTGTGAAATTTCCATAGCTATCCTTGATGTGAGCTGCCAGTATGTCTTGGTCTTGCATATGAACTTCATGCCTTGCCTGTAATGTGACCTGTCAAGTCATGGTGAGGGCGAGGTAGGGACGTCGTTGGACGACGCATGGCTTCTTGGTGAAACATCGGCGGCTGCGGATTCTTACTGGTTGACAGGGTCACCAACTGAACAGGGTTCATTATTTATCTCTGTTGGGAACAGACATCATTTGGCAATTTGGTATTTCATCTGATCTTGATCAACAGGGTTGATCCAATTCTTTGTGAGGTCGGGGACCCAAAGGGCGAGTTACCAGTGTGTGTGTGGTCACACACCATTCAAACTGGTAGCGGAGCCCGAAAGGGCTCCGGTGCTGGTTCACCGCAAGAGCGGACATCCAGGGGGCCTTTACAGTTTTGACTTTTGATTTGCAGCGATGCAAGGTGGAGGCATTGGTGTCACCGTGCCTGACGATGGGGATCTTGGACCATCAAGCGCCGGTGCTACCCCGGGTACACCCAGTTTGACTCCACAACCACCATGGCAGAGCATACCCAAATTCATTCCAGGCTCGACAAATGTCCAGGAATATGTGCAGAAGTTGAAGTTCTTAGCGGCCATGTGGCCATCGGAGCACTTGGAACAGCTTGCACCACGAGCAGCGTTGCTGGTGGAGGGATCCGCCTTCAAAAAGGTGGCGAGGTTGGATCCGAACAAGCTGAAGGTGCCCAACCAATCTGGTATCGCACTCTTGGTCGATGCCATTGGAGGCTCATGGGGCTCGACAGAGCTGGAGGAGCGCTACGAATTTTTCGAGCGCTCGATCTATGGTACAGTTCAAAGGGCTGATGAAAGCCACGATTCCTACTTGTCTCGCATGGAGGCTAGCTTTTTGGAGTTGATTTCACGTGGAACGACCTTGGAAGAGGTCCAGGCCTACATACTACTGAGGCAGTCGACTTTGCCGGCTGATGACAAGAAGCGTATCTTGTTGGAACATGAAGGGGAGTTGAAATACAAACCTGTGGTGAAGTCATTTAGACTTCTTGGGAGTCGCTTCTTCAATGAGTTTCAGACTGGTAAACATGCCACCAAGACCCGTGTGTATGATGTGAATCTCTCTGAGAATGTGGAGCCCGAGAGTTCTGATCAACCTGAAAGAGCATTTTTCTCCAATACTGATGACTTTGAAGGTGATCTGGACCATGAGACAATTGAAGCATTGGCTGCTCAGGAAGATGCCGATGCTCTTACAGTATGTGCTTTCGAGAATGAACTGGAAGAGTTTCTGCAGGAGACACCTGAAATGCATGATGCTATGACTACGTACCTTGAAGCCAGGAACCGTTTGTTGGAGAAGCGCCGCAACCGAGGCTTTTGGCCGACCAAAGGCCGTGGCTCTGGGAAGATGTCCAAGGGGAAATCCAAGGGCAAAAGATCCCGTGAGCAGCTGCTGGCCAGGATTGCCCGGTCACATTGCAGAAAGTGTGGCATGATGGGGCATTGGAAAGCCGAATGTCCGATGAACTCCAAGGACCAGAACAATGCGAATCCAACTGCATCAGCCAACGTTGCCACGGACGAGAACGAGTGCCTGGAGGAAGAGGTCTACTCTGAACCTGAACCTGACTCACAGGCACGTGTTTTGTCCCCAGTCCATCATGTCATGTCCCAATGTCCCCGAAGTTTGTCCCACAGAAGTCTGTTACATGGCCATGTTTCAGATCACAGCCAGTGATCATCAACGTCTGCACAGCCGAATGTCCAGATTTCTCCAAGGGTCTCAGGGGATAAAGGATAATCATAATGGGATAGATAAGATGAATAAGACACGGGGTAAGGGTACTGAAAGCCATGCCATGCAACCGAATGCATCCGACTCCAAAATGAATCACACCCAGATTGGTCACCGATCGTTTGTCACTGCCAGGACACCTGAAGTTTTGATCAAGACAGCCATGACCGGAGAAGTCCACTTTGGACAAGCCGAAGCGCAAGTCCTTTTGAGTGTGGCAAATGGCTCCTCACATGCCATTTTGGACACAGGAGCAAGTCGATGTATCATCGGTGAAAAAGTTTTGAACTCACTGAAAGCAAGTTGCCAACATCAGTCAGCAACAAATTGAAGACCAGTCCAAGTCAGATCAAATTCCGTTTTGGAAACAATGAATCATTGACGAGTTCTTTCAGAGTTCATTTTCCTTTGAGAGCATGTGACCAAAGAATTGTTTGGCTAGCCGTAGAAGTAGTGCCAGGCAGTACTCCATTCCTTTTCTCAAAACGTGCTTTGAAGTTGCTGGGTGGAGTCTTGGACACAGTTCATGACACATGTCGAATGCATCGCCTTCACTCTGAGCCCATCACTTTGACCATCAGTAATACGGGATTATATCTCATAGATATTGGTGAGCTTTGTCAGGGGAATGACAATATGAAAAATGATAATCAGTCCACAGCCTTTGTAGGGGAGTCATGTTTGAAAACCCATGAACATGCCGGTGAACAAGGGTCGCTGAGTCATTTGAATGTACAGTTTTCGTTTGCTCGCCAAAGACAGAAGCCAGAATCAAAATGTTTCACCACCGCCAGTGCTTTGAAAGTCCCAAGCGATCCGCCCAATTTCCCATCGTGTCTCTCCGAGACTTGCCAGAATGCCGACCATGGTGAATCTTTTCAAGACCGTGGCCGAATCGTTGATTCAGGTTTTGTCGCTGCTGCTTCAAGTGATGATTCAACACATCGAGATTGCTCCAGTGGTCAACCCGACTGCCGAGGCCCCACCAGAGTCCAACACTCAGATCCAAGCGATGATGGAAGAGCTTCACAGTCAACGTATGATTCTGGAGAACTTCATGCAACAGCGGAAGATGAACTCCCAGAGTCAAGGAAGCACTGCAAATTTGGTCTCCAAGAACCTCAAGACCAAGTCCGTGGCCAGTCCTTCTATGCCGACAGATCACTCTGGAACTGGGGCAAATCACCGGATGGCCAGCGTCGGACCTTCACAGCCTCCAATGCAATGGTGCTTAGCCGAGTCCGACGACGACGTGATTGTGGAGGAGGAGGAGATCGAGATCATCAGTGCCAAAGCCCCTCCATCGTCAAGGATTGCTCCACCAGTTCGTCAGCAACTGGCTCAGCAGCGATCCATCGAGGAGTGGGGATCACAAATTGTCAGCTGGGGAAAGAAACATCGAGGAAAGACCTTCGATCAGACCCTGCAACAGGATCCAGCATACCTCGAGTGGTGCCAGAAGAGATTCATGTCCTTGACACCGGAGATGCAAGATCTAGTGAGATATGGCCAACTCAAGATGAGCCAAAGAGCAGCCGAGGCTTCAGCAGCGGAAGTGTGATGAACCCTGAGTTTCATCAACAGATCCAGCAAACCCGGAATGATATGTCCAATGAATGTTCCTGGAATCTCTCTCAACAAGAACTGTTGCAACAGGTCCACAAAGCCGAAGAAGTTTTTGATCAACATATGTGTGATGTCAATCCCAAGCTTGATTTTCCCAAAGACCGTATTTTTCTTTTGGAAGTGTATGCTGGACGCCACAGCCCTCTGACTGATGCTGTGAAACACTTGGTTTGCCGAGCGTGCGTTTCTCCCGAGAGGACGGTGATTTGTCCACCATTGCCGGAAGAGCCAAATTATGGTCCTTGATCGAAAGAACACAGCCAGAACATATCTGGGTAGCTCCTGAATGAGGCCCATGGAGTGGATGGAATCACCTGAGCCAACAAAAGAGCATGTCAATGTTTGATACTATTCAAAACAAACAACGAGAGCAGCTTCCTCACTTACAACTTTGTGTCAAACTTTGTCAATATCAAATCAAACGTCAGCGACATTTTCACTTGGAACAGCCTCAAGGATCCAGTTTGATCAAGCAAGACGTCATGATTCCCATTCTCAAACATGTGATGCTAGCGTCATTTGACATGTGCAGCTTTGGCCTTAGAATTCCTGGAGCCCAGAAATACTTGAAGAAGGGTAGTGTGGTCTTAACCACCTCCCGACAGTTTCATGAGTTGTTGCATGATCACAAGTGCCCTGGTGGACACACTCATCAGCGCATCGAAGGCTCGATAAGCCTGAATGGTGTGAGTACGAAGTTGACTCACTTTTGTGCCACGTACTGCCAAGGTTTCGCCAAGGCCATAGCTAAGTTCCTGTGTCACAGAACCCACACGATGTGCCTGCCTTCCGAAGCGCTGGCCATAGATCTGGACGATGAGAATGAACCGCCCGCCAAGAGATTCAAGTTTCTTGCCAATCCACACAAACGTCGCAAGCCAAATGAGCCTTTGGATTTAGAAACACCACCTACCTCTGATGATGCCAGCGGGTCAAATCGTCATCCTCCAGACACAGCCATCGTAGGGTCTGAGGCAAGTGCAGTTCCCGAGCAAACCGGAGTGCAATCACCTGCCGGTGAATCTCAGCCCTGGCAACTTGTAATGCAGTTGGCACAAAGTGCTGCTCCCCGAGTAGGTAACATGCGATGTGATGCAGACTCAGAGATCTTTTCTCAGGTATGTCAGCTCGTGCCCCAGATTCAGGTTGAAAGCATTTTTATTTGCCGTGGCACGGAACGTTTTCAAGTTCCAATTCATGCACCTGCCTCACATGGATGCCCCATTCGATACACAGTTTGTTTGCATCGTCACACCAACCAAATCCATGATTTAGGACCAGAAAATTGGCACAACATGACTCGTGCACGACGCATTCGAAACTGCATTCCCAGCAAGATGACCATCACAGTATTTGGAACAGAAAAAGTGTCTGAGCCTGCAATTTCTGAAGTGCCTGAAAAGCATTTGCATGTCAGCCATCCTAATCGGGATGACGAAAAGCCTGTTCCTGAAGATCCCAATGTTTCAGCTGTTCGAGTTCGATCGGCTGACCAGTTGCCCCTGTCGGTGACACAAAGAACACCGAATGCAGTTTGTGAAGGCTGGGCACCTCCACCTATAGCGTTGCATGGACCAAAATTCCGACTTTTGAACGAAACTGAGAAGAATGAACTCATCAAACTCCATAAGAATCTTGGACACCCAGATCCAGAAAAGTTATCCCAACACCTTCGTTTACAAGGTGCAGATCCCAAGATTGTTGATGCTGCTCGAGAGTTTGTATGTGACGCTTGTGTGGAATCAAGTTCGTTTCGACATCAGCGCCCAGCTCAACTTCATGAACCCCGGGAATTCAACGACACCGTGGGTATTGATGGATTTTTCTGGTCAGGACAAGGCGGGTTTCAGGTAATGGTGTTTCATTGCATTGATGAATCTTCACTTTTCCATATTGGCAGACGATTAGATAACAGAAATCTGGAACATGTGTTGCCTGCCTTCTCCGATATGTGGTTTGCATGGGCCGGAAGTCCCTCAAATGTCTACTCCGATCCCGCCGGAGAGTTTTGTTCGGATGAATGGCTCGCATTTTTGCAGAGCAACAACATCATTCCCAAACTGTCCACGGAAGCATGGCAAAAGGGTCGAGTGGAACGTCATGGAGCTTTAATCAAAGAGATGTTAACACGTTTTGATCAAGAAAAATGCATCCAAAGCACTCAAGAGTTTGACATCGTGTTGAGAGCATGCTTTCAAGCCAAGAATTCCATGTGCAAACACCGTGGATACTCACCCGAACAAATAGTGCTTGGAAAGGCTACCAAACTCCCAGCATCCCTGACGTCGGATGAAGAATCGGGAGCACACAGCTTAGCCTTGGGACATGACTTGGATTCAGAACGTTTTAGACAGTCACTTGACATTCGATCACTTGCTCGTAAGACATTTGTAGGTGTAGACAACAGTCAAGCCATTCGAAGAGCCTTACTTCGTCGTTCATGTCCAGTTCGAGGTCCATATCATGAAGGTCAACAGGTCATGTACTGGAGACATCAAACAAAGGCAAACAGACGTGAAGGAGGGCGCTGGCATGGACCAGCCAAAATCATCAGCCAAGAAAATTCATCAACGATATGGGTAGCTCATGCCCATAGAGTGCTGCGATGTGCTCCCGAAAGTCTGCGTCCAGCGTCCATTCGCGAATGGCAAAGCAGTGGGGATCCCCTTGGTCCCATGATCCAGCAACAGCAGGATCTTTTCAGGCCTCCAGACAGGACGATAGAGAACCCAGGGGAACCTGAGAGTCCAGGATATTCACCCAGTGTTGCACCCGGAATAATTCCGACTCCACACAGCCAGCAATCTCAAGTACAACCTGAAAGTGAAAATTTTCCTGAAAACCAAACATTTTCCAGACAGATCACTTCTGAAGCCGAAACACCAGCCGAAAGTCATGTTCAAGAGAATCCTGAACAGAATCCAGAGGCTAACCCATCGGGTTCACATCCTCCTGCGCTGGATCTCGAAGATGACAGTGATGGCCTTTGCAGTGAACCCATTCTCACATGCCAGGAGGTTCTGGGACAGATACATCCAGAACCAGTGTACGACTGGATGACCTTTCAATCAGGTGAGACAGATGCTGAGGTATGTCTAGCTGAAGATGGCCTTCCATACATAGATGAACCACTTGAACATGAGGAAGAACAATGTTTTATGTTGGAAGTTCCAATGACTCGCCAGGATATTTTGAAATGGTCACAATCCAACCAACCTGAAGATCTTGCATGTGTAGCCAGTGCCGGAAAACGAGCACGAGCTGAGGTTCAATTGAAGGACCTAACACCGGCGGATCGTAGATTGTTTGACATTGCCAAAGACGCCGAATTGACATGTTGGCTTCAGACAGGTGCCCTGAAACCTATCTTGAGAAAGTCCCTCAACCCTGAACAGATTTTGCGATCGAGATGGGTACTCACTTGGAAACCAATTGAAGGTGCTGATGGTCAGGTTAACAGTCGTAAAGCCAAAGCCCGACTTGTGGTTTTAGGTTACATGGATCCTAAATTAACAGAAGTTGCTAGAGACGCACCGACACTGACCAGAGAGGGCCGTCATACCATTTTACAGGTGATAGCATCATGTCAATGGCTTTTGTCTTCTTTCGACATCCGTACTGCCTTCTTGAGGGGGCGTGCCGATGATGCAAATCCCTTAGCCATGGAACCTCCCCGAGAGCTGCGTCAAAAGCTTCGACTGGAGGACAATCAGGTATGTGCGTTGATAGGAAATGCATACGGCAGAGTGGATGCACCATTGCTGTTTTATCGTGAACTGTCTTCACAATTGCAACGGTTGGGTTTTAAACCACATCCCTTAGAGCCCTGTATACACTACTTGGAATCATGGAAAGACGGTGAACGTATACTACATGGTGTTTTGGGTACACACGTTGATGACGGGATCTGTGGTGGTGACCACATCTTTCATCAAAAACTTGAATCCCTGAAACAAAGGCTGCCATTTGGATCGTTCAAACAAAGGAAATTCGTTTTCACAGGCATCCAGTTGGAACAATTACCTGATCATAGCATAGTAGCTTCTCAGCAAGACTATGTCCATGGTATTGTGTCCATCGAAATTGGCAAACACCGCAGAAACTGTCCTGAACAGCCGGCCAACGAAGCTGAAAAGTCAGCATTACGTGGCTTGATCGGCAGTATCCAATATGCAGTGACCCACACGAGACCAGACCTGGCATCCAAGCTTGGTGAGATTCAAGTTCAAATCTCACAACCAACAATTCAGACACTGATGACAGCCAACAAGTTGCTTCGGGAAGCCCAAGAAACTAGTGACACAAGAATTTGTTTTCGGTCCATTTCCGTGCCTCAGGTTACTCACGTAGTCTTTGGAGATGCGTCATTCGCCAGCCAAAAACAATTGTCTTCATTTCAAGGAACCATTGTATTTGCCACGACCCCGAAACTTCAAGATAACCTTCAAGCCCCAATAAGCCCCCTAACTTGGTCTTCGAAAAAGATTGCACGTGTCGTTCGATCCACGTTATCAGCAGAGGCCTTCTCTATGTCACGAGGGGTAGATAAACTAAGCTGGATGAGACTTCTTTGGGGTTCCCTTGTTATCAAAAACTTTGACTGGAGAACACCTTCCAAATCTTTGGCAGGTCTTCAAAAAGCTATCATTGTAACTGATTGCAAGTCCCTTTACGACCTAGTCACTCGTACTGCAATTCCATCATGCGAAGAATATCGAACCACCCTGGAAGTGCTGCTGATAAGAGAACTATGTCACGAGAACTGCCATTTCAGGTGGATCCCAACGTCTCTGCAGTTGGCGGATCCCTTGACAAAACCAATGGATCCAGCGATTCTCCGAGTAGCCCTAGCATCCGGAAGTTTCCAACTGTTTGATGAACAGGCCAGTCTTCAAACAAATGCTCACCGGAAACAAGCGATTTCTTGGTTACAGCAACAAAAGTCAACCCTCTCACATCAATAAAGAGTTTTGGGAGTGTGAAATTTCCATAGCTATCCTTGATGTGAGCTGCCAGTATGTCTTGGTCTTGCATATGAACTTCATGCCTTGCCTGTAATGTGACCTGTCAAGTCATGGTGAGGGCGAGGTAGGGACGTCGTTGGGCGACGCATGGCTTCATGGTGAAACATCGGCGGCTGCGGATTCTTACTGGTTGACAGGGTCACCAACTGAACAGGGTTCATTATTTATCTCTGTTGGGAACAGACATCATTTGGCAATTTGGTATTTCATCTGATCTTGATCAACAGGGTTGATCCAATTCTTTGTGAGGTCGGGGACCCAAAAGGGCGAGTTACCAGTGTGTGTGGTCACACACCATTCACATATATATATATATACATATATATATATATATATGTATATATGTATATATATGTATATATATATATATACATACATACATACATAAATTGTCCAGTATCATTGCTGGCTTTTGAACTGCTGAATGCATTGTAGTTCTAGCTATTTGTTTTGTTGACTTTGCTTTAGCGAACTGCCAGCAACTGATGGCTTCTTCAATCCGTGATAGGAATCTGACTCCATACTTGCTGTCAGGTTCATGGATTTGTCACCCATCCTTCAATTGGAATTATGTCGTGCCATGCCCTGTGGATAGTGAAGTTCCTTCCGCGCAGAGTTGGCTGCCCATGGATGCATTTGAACTTTGCAGGCAACCGCAGCACCCGTTTCTCAGCCTAGTGCACGGGTTGAACAGGGTCCTGAAAGCTGTTTCTGCACAGTGTCAGCAAGTCTCCACGCTGTACAGAATTTTACCAGAACGCTCAGTTTATATAAGAAGTGAACTCCAACGATTTTTTGCATTCTTTTTGGGACCTGGACCCGACCTACCGCTGCAGAAATTGTGTGAACATGCTGTTAGGATTGCGGGGTCCCAAAGATTCATTTGAGTGTCATCGGGGAGGTCAAGCACGAGAAACGAATCTGGCCACCAACCTTAGCCATTGACAAGTTGATGCAGCCTCAAAAGTGCCTTCATTGTTGCTTTCACATCTTTCATGGGCTTTTGATGATGATTTGCCAGTCAAATTGGGGGTATCCTCATCATTTCCGGCTTGTGATACGTCAGGGGGCCCCCGTGTTGGCTTGTGCAGTTCCAAGTTCCAGTGCTTCAGTGCTTCGCACCTGGCAGAGTGTTGCATCTGTTGCAGGAGTGTGACACACATCAATCCATGGAGCTATGCGGCGAAAAAGATCCGTCCTGTGCTGGACATCCAAAGATCGCGCCAGCTCTTGGGCGTCACGGGACGGGTCCGGCCCGGCACCTTTTCAGGTACCAACCAGACGACCTATGAGCAGATCAAGGGGGCCTTCAGTAGCTTTGGTGAAAAGGGGCTGGAAAGATGGAGGAGGGGAACGAATCTGGTGACCCTTGGGGATGTGATGATGCTGGTGATGCTGGTGATGCTGGTGATGGTGATGATGATATGATGCTGCCTCTGATAGTGATTATTGTCACAATTCTCCGGATACTGACAGTGATAGTGATGCTGGTGGTTCTGGTGTGGTGGTTGCGGTGGTGACGACGATGGGAAGGAACATTTTGTAAAAAATGGACACATGTCAGTACAACAATTGATGGATATGGATATGGATGCCAACATGAAAAACCCACACGCATGTTTATTCTGAAGTAACTAAATGTGGTTATATGTATACATACGCACTGACAGATTCAGGTATGCATACACAGACTGAGGCGCATGTATCATACATATGTCCATAAGATCTGGTCGTGTGAAGGTGTAGACGTACAATCATAGTCCATGGCATGCAGACACATTAATGTATCGACAAACAGTGTACGGGAACTCTGGCCTTTTTATTCAACAATGTTTTTATGTTTTTGATGTCATGGATGAACTTCTCTTATCGAGAACACAAAGTTCCCAGGCACCCTTGATTAAGACAAAGAAGTATGCTGATAGGGCATCAAATGCGGATGGGTAATGGTCGCGATCCATATCAGGGTTGCTCCAACCCATTGTGAATAAATGATAACAGGAAGAAATTTGTCATGTCTTTTTCATAACTTTAACTCTTTGTATGCTCAGTTCCCCCCTTGTCTGGGCTGTTGGGAATAACCCTGCTCCTACGGGACGATTTTGTAGGGAGCATGGTGAATGGCCTGTGGGTCGGTGCATACCACGAGATCGCTCCCAAAATGTCAAAGCGGTGGCGAAACTGTGAAAAACCCTATCGCTGTTTTGATTCATGTGTGATTCTTTTATATATTTTTCGGTTTCTTTTTAAATGATTTCCCGTGGTTTGAAGACGTGAATAGCATAGGTTTGTCACTGGGTGACTCTCATGTTGTGCTTAGGCGGAGCTGTGAATCCTTTCCATCGTGGGATTTTGGGGAACTATTGGGTGCCTTGGCGCTAGAACTGCACCAAGAACTGCAGGTTTTAACGCTATACGAAACCACAGCCCATGGGGCCCCTGATACTTGGGATGTTGGAAAAAAGTCTCACTTTCAGGACATTTATTTGGGGTTGAAAACAGAGAACCCCCAAATCCTGTTGTTTATCAGTTTAACATCAATTTCCGAAATTTAATGTGGCTACAACCTGTGGTTTATCATCATCAGTTTCCAATCATGTTTCAGTGGCCACAACTTGGAATCCCGCATTTTTGTGAAGTTTGTTGCCGGTTGTCATTTGTGTGCTCCAAGCCTGCCAGTTTGTGTCGCTCAGTGGATGTTTCAAGAGTATGACCTGCGTTTGGTGGGTCCATTGGTGATGGCCATGTTGCTGGTGATTTTTAGGTGTTCTAAACCGATTTAGAGCTGGTTTTTTCCTGAATTTTCAAAGCCAGAAAAAGGATTAGATTGGCACCAGCTCACTTGGGCCACTTGGGTGCGACTGTGCCGCCAGAAAATGCACCTGGCATTTTGAGAGTTGTTGAAGCCTAGTCAGCTGCAACCGGCATGAAGGCTAAGTGAGCTTCAATTTCGTGGCCTCAATTTATAAACATAAGTGTATAGGTATGTAAATATACATATACAGATGTACATCCATGGCCAATGTTGAATTATTTTGGGGTCCCGCATTTTGATATCCCTGTATGCGGAGGTATCAACCTCATCAACTGCACTTGGGTATAAGGGTTTATGGTGATTATTCCCTCACCAACCTGCCCCCCTATGAAATAGCCCTGAAATAAGGCCCGATGAAAAAATAAGGCATCATTATATAAAGTCTTGAGAAGTATGCCCCGATTAGTGCCATGATGATTGCTCGAAATCCAACTTACAGCGTTGAAATCACTTTAGGGACATAGGGACCATGACGACCCAACTTTCCGTGTTTTGCAGATTTGAGCTCGGCGGGTTGGATTTTTTGGGGGGTTTTGGGACCTGTGAATCTGGTGGGATAGACTACCTATCAGTGGGTTTATTTCAACCATAGCGACCCTGGACTTCAGGACATTCTGTGCACTCCAGTGCGTCCTCGGTACTTCAACGCCGCGAGACCCGGGAGTTTCGGTGGGGTGGGGTTTCATTTTCCTAGCTGACAGGAGGGATGCGAAAATGGCAAGTTCCCTTGAAAAATCCATGAACTGGCCATGGAGTTTTTTTTTGGGGGAAAAGCATTGAATTTGGCATGAAACAATTTCGGTCATCGCACATTTGGTGTCCACAAAGGACCAGATGACACCAGTGCCCAAGTTGATGGTCTTCTTGTGCTCGGTCATGGTCTTGCCATAAACTCATCATTCATAATGGTTGGGTTATTAATTGTTAAATCAAATAGACATACAGTACACTACATATTTCATTGTATATCACTACACATATATATACATACATACATACATACATACAAACATACATACATACATACATACATACATACGATCATATGCATATACATTATGATACATGAGTATTTTCTGTTCAAGTTCCTTTTGAAGGGTTTTATTATTAACAACAACAACAACATAAGGGAGTTGTTTCAAAGAAGCTGTCATCGTTCGTGAAGTTGTCATCGTTCCCGTGAAGTTCTCGTTGATCCACTGACCACTGCTTCAAAATGGACTTTATTTGGCAAGGGCCGAGAGTCCGGGGTACTACTTAAAGGTACTATACCGATAGATGTCTATAATATATATATATATAATATATTTAATATATAATATATAAAGTATATAACGCTATGTATAAATAACTGTAGGTATATGGATACATATCCGAATGACCAAGACATATTGTTGGATACATTCCATCATGTACCACTGGATTTTTGACCCGTCCAGATTCATCACGGATGTGAGGCCCACTTTAATCGCTTGCTATGGCCTCCCAAGGGGGCCGTGCCATTGGAACAGCAGATGAGGCCTGTATTGGCAGTGGGGGTTTGAGGTCATTCATAAACTCTGTTGATTAATTTTGGGGGGTTTATTCCCCAAAAACAGTGTTAGGACTGTTAGGTTACTTTTCAGTTGTTTTGACAATTCGTATGCCGGCTAAATTAGTAAGCTGAGGGCTGGTTAACAAAAAATCCTGCCTTGACCTTCGGATGATCTTGGCCTGAGCTATCAGTGGAATCCAAGGTGTTTTTCTCAACCTGCCATTTCTGGGCTCGAAAGCCGGGTAGCTTTTGAGTAACTTCAAGGATGATCCAAGTAGTACGTAGTTGCCTTTTGGGAAGAAGGACCAGCCTTTTTATGGTCACATTGTTCCAAAAAACATCAACCGATTTGACCGCCATGGTCTACTGTTGGAGCGAGACACCTATGTGTTATTTTTTGGAGGGGGCCACGTTTTAGAAGCAGACAAACCCCAAATTGCAGCTTATTTTCCAACACACACACACATTGGTACTATGCCCACAATAGCGGCTAGATCTCCATTTTCATTGGTTCAATCCATATGTACGCTGATCGGTGCAGTTGCAGTTGGAATAGGTAACATCCGGACACATCGGCCAAGTCCCATTTTGATTTTGCTCCTTAGTTTCATCGCTAGCCCTACAGCTTCAGGAAAAAGAACGCCGCTGGGTCCTTGCCAAAGACGGACACTGCTGAGTTTGGACCGGCATGATTTGATGTCAGCTTGACCTTTTTTTTTCTCAAGCTGTCCTTGAGAAAAACACTTGACTTCCTGAAGACTATGGGTTTGCCCCATATTGGCATTTTTTTTCACCTTCCTTTGATTCAACATAGCTATGGAACATCTTTATTTATTATTATTTTTTCTAAAAAGTAGGTAAATCATCTGGGCCATCTATGCCACAACTACAGTAAATTACCAGAGGATACACCTATCCAAAGTTGGGCTTGGGGGATGAATTTTTGTTCAATACCCCCTGCTGAGTAATAGAAAACCAACACTACATCCGTTTAAGATAGATCATTTCCAAATAAAGAAAAATCTTGATAATTCCCAAAATGTCCAAGTACATTCATTTTAAATGGATAATTTTCCATTTCCATCTTTGAGTATCAGAGGGTTTTTTGGGTCTGGCAGTGCTTCACTCCTACCATTCCATCCTGAACGCCAGGATGCGTGACCTGAGCGTACCCCAGGTGCGGCCAATTGCGAATCTGAGGTTTAAAGGATTGGTTTTTGATCTTTTTTTGGTAGGTTTTTTGATATTTTTTTTAATGGTTCCCAGCCTGGTACTGAAAATTTTGCTTTGGGAATCTCCATTGTTTGGTTGGTTCCCCAAGATCGAGTGACCTTCGGACCCCGATGTACCCGTTTTCCCCGGGGTATTTTCCTCAGAAGGACCTGAGTTTGGCCAAACTCGGGATGCGATTTACTGCAGTTTAATATGGCACCCGGAGTTCCAAGGGATTATATATCTTCATTTTCCCCGAGAACAATGCCAATTTCAGCCAATGATTTGGTTTGATCTCCATTATGCCAGTCATAACGCATTTAATATAATCTACGTATGTTTTTTTTTTCTGGAGATATGCTCAGATTGGATGATATTTAAACTATATATATATATTTAAACTATATATATATACACTATATATACCATTATCCAGAAATTATAATTATTGAATCCCATTGATACATAACATTTTAATTCTGGGTTTTGGTTACCTCAAACCGACCTCTTCCTGTGTTCACACAGGAGACCACGTGCGACGCCGTGCCACCCTTGCCGCGGGAACAGTCGGACTGCTCGGGGTGAGATTCTGGGGTGGCCTGGGGTGGCCTATGGTGGCCTTTTATCAGAGCTTACATCACATTGTAAACTGCAAAAGGGAGGAACGATATGAAAAGGAGGGGGTTGGCAATGTGCAGAGAAGAGAACATTTCCAGATGTGGTCAGCTTGCAGGCATCCAAGAAAGATGAATTCGACCGAACGTGGTAAACCCAATGCCATAAGGGCATACGTTTTGATACCTCCCAGCATGGTAAAATCTGGCAAATTGTGCCCATGATATCCTCATAATATGGTTCATATTACATCCCCATATATCACATCCCCAAGTAATACATGGTTGGGTCTTTCGTTATCCCCAAGTCTCGGCACTTAAATCCCAAGTTTTCGAACACTGCAAGGTGGATTTATAAGTTGGTGAACATAACCCCCATGAACTGCTGCAGTTCGAGATTTCTACCAACTCAACAATTCTTGAAGTGATGTTCACCAACTTAGCTAACGAACTGGTGCATAACCTTGTGGAACCAACCTTGGAACGGTTTGACCTGCTGGTCTGAGGCAGAGCATCCGCCCTGGCTCCCAGGACAATCCTGTTCCGACCATTCAGCAATTGAAGACACATGACTATATGATGGTAGATGATATATGATGATGAACCACCGAGCTCGAAGTGTATGTGTTTATATATTTATATATAATATATATACACACACATGCAGTACACCCCTTCAATATATACATGTATAGTTTTCCTTTCCATTTGAGGACATCATGAAGGGTGTAAACCCATAGAAGGGGACACAAAGAGTGAACTTATGGGCAAACACAGAATGACAAAGCCTGAGCTGCTTAATCGGCCGGTTCGCTTGCAATGGCCATGATTACCACTTTTTAGGGATGACACCAGACAATGAATCAACCAGGCTTTCAATTGATGTGCGGTTGACATCAATTCAGTTGCAAACTTGGGACAGCCCCAGGGAATGGGGTAAATATGCGTAATATTGCTGTGACCCTACAGCTGGTTTCAGATCCAAAGAACACCCCTCATGCCTTCAGCTACAATAATAGACCCACTATGATCCAAACCATTCCGCCAGGGGGGAATCTTCCAAATCTTTGGGACATTTGTGATTTCACCATCCAAAAGTCGAAGACCTCATGTTTTTGTAACCCGGTGACATGTTTTTGCCTACGGACCGAAAACTGAGGTCGCGAAACGCTTCTTTTTCGAGTCGGATGTTCTTGATGCTATGTTGATGATGGGGTGGGGTGGGGTGGGGTGGGGCATGTTAACGTTCGTGTGAACTTGCTGAGGTTCTTGATGCTACGCTGATGATGGGGTGGGGTGGGGTGGGGCATGTTAACGTTCGTGTGAACTTGCTGAGGTTCTTGATGCTACGCTGATGATGGGGTGGGGTGGGTTGGGGTGGGGCATGTTAACGTTCGTGTGAACTTGCTGAGTTCTTGATGCTACGCTGATGATGGGGTGGGGTAGGATGTCACAAGAAACCGAGAAAAGCTCAAAGCGCACACAGGCACAATAGATGCCGCATGGACGTCGTGCAAAAAAATCGTGCCAAAGAGTTTGCATGCCCGGAGTGCGGACTTGATTCTTTATTGCAAGATGTGGCAATGGAGATTCATCCACACGTACAAAAACTTGGCGAAAGCCACGGTGTCCAAACTGCAAGATATGTAAAAATGACGGTGCGGACAGTTGAGCATGCCTGAACTTGTTTGAAGCAGAAATTGCGTTTCGCCTAGGCGAAATACACATTTATCTAAAAAACCACCAAATTCAGACGTCTGAATTTCAGAGTTTTTGTGATCGCTGAATTGTGTTTTCGCCCTGGCGAAACGATGATTTTTTGAAAAAAACAGTATTTCACGACCTCACTTTCCGGTCCGCCGGGATGTTTTTGTCACCGTGGGGCTTTCCAGGGAGATCCTGGCAGGAACGCCACTTGCCAATGGAACTGGCTCAGCCCCTGGGCCAGGCGGGTCCTAAAGATCAGAGCTGCCCAGTGAAGATCATTTTATGTTAAGAAAACACGCTGTTTTTTGTTGTTGGTCAAAGAGGCTTCTTATTGGGTCAAACAAAACCTGCTATTGTACTTTTATTGTTCAAACGTGCGATCTTTTTTGTTGTTTCGTTGGCTCATAACCTATGACTGTAGATTCAAACGGCCTCATTTTTGTTGATCAAAACTCCAGTCTTGCTTGGCGGATATCCCGCATGGTTGCTGTTTCAATTGGTTGTAGGGTGAAAATAACTGAAAAGAATCATTTAGTGACTTCCGCAAGGCACCCCGGTATTCTGAAAATGTCATGGAATTACACCTGATAACGTCCACATACTCCACATCAAATCCATATTGCAACCGTATGGCTGGGTTTCAGGCTTCCTACATCTACATATTGGAAATCAACCTCCCATAAAATGGCCCCAAGAAGCCTCTAGTAAATTGACAAAAAACGATATTCCGATATGGAAAACAAACATGGTGTCCAGAAAATGATCTAGATTCATGGTGGATTCCCCCTGGCCAGGAGCCGCTTCCACCGCCAACGGCTCCCATGGAACCAGGTGACTGTGATGGGAGCTGCCGAATTGGAGGGGTTTAGTCATGATTTATAGCAACCAAAAAGCAACCAAAAAGATTGACATGGTGTGATTTGTCACTATTTTCGCAGGGTTTGCAGGTTTGCTGTTTTTTCGATCCTTTTTTTCGAGTTGCTAATAGCGGCTATACAGATGACCCGGTCAAATCCTGAAAACCAACCTGGCTACTGGGAGAACTCGGTTTTTCTCCAATGGCCTAAGTAAAAACTTGGATTTGCATCCTGCTTGGCAAGAGATTAAGCATCATGAATGATATACATATATATGTAATAATCATAGCGCTGGGGATTGGGGTCCGCATTTTTTTTTCGCGCCGATGCACCGATACACCGCGCGATAAGAATCCATGTGCAACCGCGGTCCTCATCAAACACGGACTTTACAACTAAAAGATGTGGTCCCAATGCCATAATCCTACCACTTGGGGATGGTTTAAAGAAACAACCCATTTACGGTAAGCCATTGCTGGTTGATGCCAGCTTTGCCTCTTTTCGTTTACCCATGATTTTCAACCATTCTTGTTTGTTCTATCACTATTAACCATTTAACTGTTGAGCATTATTAATCAATACTAACCATTACTAACCACTATGACGCATTATAACAATCATTTTAAAACATTATTAAACATGATTTGCTATTAACAATTCTTATCCATAGTTATTTCAGCACATCCCGGCACCTCCACAAGTTCTTGTGATTCTCAGCAGGTGCAGCCTCACCCTCCGAGGTCAAGGTCAAGGTTGGCAGGGCTATGGTTTAGGGCATTGGGCCATATCTTTCTATCCCATTGTTAGTTAAAGCCAAGTTCTATGATATGGCATATTATATAAAGCATCACCAATATTCACTAATTGGATTATATATATATATACACATACACACACATATTTCATGTAAATGTATGTATGTGTATTATGTATATATATATACACATTATGTATACATATATTTCCCCACCATTTCACTCTATCACTATGTTGGGCTATGGTTTGTGGCATTGGCTTCACGGCTTGCTAGGCAACGGGTATCTGGTTGATGACCATCCCCAAGAACTGGCACCATCCTTTTGGTGCAGGATTTCGCAACCATCCACAGCATCATGAATTACTCAGTTGATATTTCTTCACACCTTTCATGACATTGATAAATTGCTACGTTTTCTAAAGAAACATTGGCTTGACGGTTTCCGAACAATGTTGTTCAACACGTTACGTCGCAGGCGAAACCGCCCCGTGGACAGGACGTGCTTTGAGGCGACTGAAACAGGGGAAACGCTTGGAAAAAAACAGGGGAGTTTCAGGGTGGTGTAGCGGTGTATTGTCATTCATGAGTATCATTTTTATGGATATAAACCTTATACATATATATATATATATGGGTATGGATCAATACCTATTAATACCATTTTTAGGGGGTTATTCACATCCATAAATCCCAGCTATTTTGATGTGAACTACAGGGGTACTATTGGTTTTGACACACTGCCATATAGCATTGTCAGGATTATCATCATTCAACTAGATGTTGTTCCTTTGTCCCTTCAAGCTTCATGGATCAGTGGAGACTGGCACGACTGGGTTTCATGACACCGCCAGGGGAGGTGGACACGTCGGGTTTCACCCTGAATTAGCCTAGTGCGGCGCCGGTCTTCAAAAGCAAGTTGCAATGGTTCACATTGACCCCGGTATGGTGGTTGTCTGAAAATCTCAGTGAACTTGTGTTTGAAGGATTTTTTGACATGTGTTTGGCTTGGTGGTCTTTCGATGCGTGCGATATGGGTTTGACAGATTGAGTTAGTTTCCGAACAATTTTTGATGTTTGAGATCTGACTGCCACTGGGGACAATAATTTTCCACCCTCTGCAGTTTAACCCGGAGATTGCCAAAGAGGTCCCGACCAAAAGCAGGCGCAGCGCCGAAACCTATGAGCTCTTCTGGAGACTGCTGGTATTATCCTAACATCCCTCATCTGCTCGAGGGGTTTTTCAAATACAAATGCAACAGTTGCGCTGTTGATTTCCTCAGTTCCGCTGGATAGTCCCCATTTCGGAAATGTTGGCAGGTTTCGGATTTGCGTCGTCTCGGGACTGAAGAGTGCCACGCGTGTTCCGCGCGCATGTGTGACATGATTCCGGGGATCTTTCAAACAACAGCCCATCGAGTGGGCCGTTGCTAACAACTTCGGCAGGGCTCGGTGTGTTTGATGGCAGACCATTGAAACCATTGAAACGATTGAAACCATTGAAACCATTGCATTCTCCACGAATATTTGAGCCATACAAAAAAAATGACAAGAACTTTTTTCTGGCCACAAGTTCGAACATATGTGTATACATGTAGCATATACCCACAATTGATACTGATGATAACTACCTTTATACTACTGATAGTCAGGACAATAATGCCGACAACAATGACAATACCTTTGGATATCAAAGCTGGCAATGGAAACAAATACCTCATTCCTAGATTATATATATATAAATACATATAATGTTACATATGTATATATAATATAATATAATATAATATAATATAATATATAATATAACATATAATATAATATATAATATAATATAATATAATATATAATATAATATAATATATAATATAATATAATATAATATATAATATAATATAATATATAATATAATATAATATATAATATAATATAATATAATATATAATATAATATAATATATAATATAATATATACTATAATATATAATATAATATATAATATATAATATAATATATAATATAATATAAAATATAATATATAATATAATATATAATATAATATAATATAATATAATATATAATATAATATAATATAATATATAATATAATATATAATATAATATAATATAATATATAATATAATATATAATATAATATAATATATAATATATAATATAATATAATATATAATATATAATATAATATAATATATAATATATAATATAATATAATATAATATAATATAATATTACATACATACATACATACATACATACATACATACATACATACATACATACATACATACATACATACATACATACATACATACATACATACATACATACATACATACATACATACATACATACATACATACATACATACATACATACATACATACATACATACATACATACATACATACATACATACATACATACATATACACAATATAATATACATATATATATATATATCCCATCAAAACCCCATTCATAGAGGATTTTCCAGCTTGCCATGTTTGATGACACAGGAGGGTAACGATGACACAGGTTACGGCCGTCACATCAACCCCACGAGCAGCCACCACGAATCCAGGCATTGGGACCTCACCCAGATCTGCTAAGTGCCGTGCCCAAAAAAAGGGGAGGCGGTGGCGTGGTGGAATTGGGGGTTGGACCCCCAGGTTATAGCTATGTAGATGGGGGGACAGAGATATTTTTTTTGGGGTGGTATGTTTTGATACCCAGATGGATCATTGTGAACGGCCCCACGGATGGCTCCACTTACACATGGTTGGGTTGCAAAGGAAACCACCCAAAAATGGCCTTATAGACAAGGTTTGGGCTGTACTGTAAAATGAAGATCACACTAAGAATGGTAACCATATCAGTAACAACAATAGTGATGACCCTGATACAGCGAAATAGCTACTAACAATGGACGTAGTAATGATATAGACGATATACATCCAACACATCCAGGTTTGGAAGGTCTGGAGGGGCCAATTTCAAGCCATACCCAAGTGGGTCACTGCCGCTTTTGGGCTTTGGTAGCTGTTTTTCACCCAGTTGCACAGGACAAACATTTGCATTGGATGATCATTGATTTTATGTCTGTTTCGATGCCAGACATAGTGTAGAAAATTTGAGGATTGACAGTTTTGTTCAATGAAATCTGTTGGACCAAAGCCATGAAAATGGAGCGCGGTCTTTCGATTCACACACTTCAACACACACATGCAGAAACACACCCACACGCATAGCTACTGTAAATGTTTTTTCAAGCCTTCTCTGACACAGAACTCGAGACAAAAATCAAAGTCAGGGCCGGCAGTGATCCATTGATCCCCTGATGCAGCGGTGTGGGACTGAGCCTTTGTCGATTTTTGTGCATTGACGTGCATCTAAAATATTCTAAAATCTAAAAGTTCCAAAGACATAGGCCAGTTTTGTCCAATGATCCATGCAAAACAAACATCAGCCCTGGGTGGTTACAACATGTTACAACGTCACCTTTACATGAGTTGGATCATATCATCATAACTCCTTGGGGGATGGCTATCAACCCATAGGGATTTGTTGAGACAAATCACTCAGGTCTTTGTCCTCTGGTCAGGGAGGCTGGGATCATCTTAGGATTGAAAAACGTGGGAGTTTTTTTGAGGCTTTGGTACCTGAAAATGGTCAGTATGCTCAATTTATGGTTATTTTAATGGGTAACGTCCATCCTCGTCCATGATAACAATGATGGACCCCTGAACAACTCCATCAACCTATCTGCATCTATTTTGTATCCTGGATAGACCTTGGTAAAGGTTTTCCAAGTCAAGTTCAAGACTAGGAATCTCTGATACCCAGCTAGAAAATGCATCCGAAACACTCTGAAGTTTGCAGGGTATCAACCGCCAATCAACCGCGTATCGGGTCCGGCGACATTTTGGAGGTTTGAGCCACTTGGACATCGACTGCAAGGCCTGGAGGGTCTGGATCAGCTCAGGGGGTTTGTGACAGCTACTGTAAGTACTGCCGGTTGCCCCGTCTGATAGCGAAATCAAGAATTTGGATGGCCAGTTTTCTGGAGTATCGTCAGTATCATCTTCCTTCTGGAAAACCCATCTACCTTCTGGAAAACCCAAGACCAGTTCCTGAGGCAATGTCTACATCGGGACAACATGAAACATTGGAAAAGCATGAACTTCGACCATTCAATGGCCAATGCCGGAACAACTTCTTTGGGAACTCCAAATTTTTGGTACTGGTCAAGCTTTAAGGATCACGGAATCACAGATGGCTTTCCCTCCTTTCAGATTTCAAATCCTTCAATCTTCTGGCAGTTATTGGTGGTAACAACTCCAACTTTCTTGCGAAAAATAAACTGTTGGTGAACACCCCATAATCCCATACACACACACACTGCATATTTATAAATTATATACATGTATGTAATGTACAATGCCCACATTTATATATATCCCCCCAAGCTTTGTTGGTTGAAGCTCGGCCAAGACTTCAGGAGGCTCTTCAGCAATTGCTGCGGCCCAGGCGGGGGATGCCCGCACTGCTGAAACATTGCAAATCTGCACAATTGTAGAACTGCTGGATTTTGGGACGCCAACGATTTGGATTATTTTGAGAGGATGTCTTTTTTGGCAGGATGGATTTTAGAACCCTTGAACTAGCTTTTTTTTTCTGGACTATTGGCCTTGGTTTTGAGCCAACAAGGGCTGTTCAACTTCAACACTGCTCCAGCTGCCCAGTTACTATGGGATCATCAACCCATGGATGGGTTCCGCGCAAGAAGCCTCAGATGGTGGATATTTGGATGTGTGAATCTTGAGATCAAGAACTGTCCTTTGTGGGAGAAAATGAGGAGCTGGTTTGGTAGACCGTTTGGTAGACCATTCCTAGGTTCTTTCATGGTGTTGACCCCTTTATTAAACCAACCAGCGGGAAAAGGACATTGTCTCGTTGAGATTCCGAGTCGCAATCAGAAATTCGGCTTCGTCTAGGTCGACACGCCAGAAGCAGGACATGATCTTGTTGAAGAAAAGGATGGAAGGCCAGCGGGTCATCTTAGCTTCCTGTCAAGGCTTGAGAAAAGCAAAGAAGCCTGGGGCGAGGTGAAACTGAAAGACTCTGAAAGTTGAAGGGACTTTGGTGGACTTCATCCAGGGCAACAGTTAAACCGAGTTGACCCGCGCAGTGCTGTCTCAGAAATCCTGCAAGCCTCAATCATTCTCAATCCAAAGCACATCGAAGACTGCCTCCCTGCAAGCTTTTGGATGGGTTTGCGCAACACCAGGAGACATCGGGATACCCTAAAATGGCTGCTTTTATGGGAGATACCAGGAGATAGGCACCATAAACCTTGGGATTTGAAGGCTCACATTTTTCGCAGACGATCACCTTTGTATCTACCTTTCAGCCGGCCCGCAGAAGCTGATCGACCGGGGAAGAATCCCTACCTCATGGCTAGGGAAACTCAGAGTGGCTGGGTTTCTGAGCCATGACCTATATATAAAAGGATTTCCAAAGCCACACCTTTCTTTAGCCAGCAAAGTAAAGAATGTAAAGAAGATATATACCTCAAACCTAGTGGTTTTGGTTGAACCAAAATATGTCCATTGCGATATGTCCATCTGCTTTTTTTTGGGTCTCCCGCTGCTCCTGCCTTGCAACTAAGAAAACAATAGGACACACACCTTAAGAGAATCGCCACAGGCATTTGGTCTTCGAAAGTGGCATATGCTGTTACTCTCGTGAAGTTGAATTGACAAATAGCTTATATATGTGGGTCATGGTGAAAATTGGGTGCCAACCCCAAAATGTCTAGTTCTGCTAGTGGCCAGTGATTTTGCAAGTGGGCCGATCAACCCCCCTTTCGCTCAGGCGGATGTTGGCAAGATCCAGGCACAGTCGTCTTCAGCAGTGGAAATCCGTGAGTTTTCGGACCTTTCCAAGTTTGGAATTCAGGAAGGAGATCAATGCCTCCCCAGAAAATGCCGATGGCTCTTAAAACCTTTGTACGATCTTTGAGGCATCGTTTTCAGATCAGTCCAAAGCAGGGTGACGAGATTTTTTGCATGGCCAGATCACCTCCAACCCTTGGGGACGTGAACGCGAGTCCAATGTTGCTTGGCCGGTGGTGACTTACTTGGACCACTAGTCTCACTAGTGCTGCTTTCCCCAACTTGGGATACTGTCTGGTAAACTAACATATGGAAAATCACCAGGTTTAATGGGAAAATCAACCATAAATGTACCATTTTCCATAGCTATGTTAGTTTACCAGAGGGAAGTCATTCCGACAACCAACAGCTTGACCCGAATCGGGTCCTTACGTTGGACGGACGGAGATTTTGCCATCATACATCCGGTAGGACGACCTGATATGTTGACACTGTTGTCATATAATGTATACATACATATATATATACATAATATAATATAATATAATATAATATAATATAATATAATATAGTACAATGTAACATAATTTAAAATAATATAATATAATATTATAATATATTATATATATAATATCATATATATAATAATATATATATAATACAATACATATAATATAATATATTCTATATATTATCTATATTATATGATATATATTATATAATATTGGATATATTATATATAATATAATATATAATACTATGTATAATATTATATCAAAATATATAATATATAATATACAATATATAATATATAATATTTGATATATAATATATAATATATAATATTTGATATATAATATATAATATATAATATAGTATATATAATATTTACTATATATTATATGACATATGATCTAAACTATGTAATAATTATAATATACTATAATATAATATAATGTAATATAATATTATAATACAATACAATATAATATAATACAATACAATATAATATAATATAATATATTATAATATAATATAATATAATATATTAAAATATAATATAATATTATGTGATATAATACAATATGATATAATAAAATATCAAATATGTTATATTATATAATATGATATTATATACTATATAATATAATATGATATTATATAATATAATATGATACTGTAAAATATATCATATAATATGAAATTATATAATATATAATATAATATGATATTATATACTATATAATATAATATACTATATAATATAATATAAAATATAATATAATATATAATATGATATGATATAATATATAATATATAATATATAATATATAATATATAATATATAATATATAATATATAATATATAATATATAATATATAATAAATAATATAATATATAATATATAATATAATATGTAATATATATAATATATAATATATAATATATAATATATAATATATAATATATAATATGTAATACATAATACATAATAAATAATATATAATATAATATATAATATAATATATAATATAATATATAATATAATATATAATATAATATATAATATATAATATATAATATATAATATATAATACATAATATATAATATATAATATATAATATATAATATATAATATACTTTACTATACTATATGCATTATTCATGTGTATGGAAACAATGTTTCATGACTCAACATGGTCCCCATGTATTGCCACCCCCAACCCCAGCCGTTGAGGTGATTCCCGTCACGGCGGACCGTATCCAGGCGGATCTCTTGAGAAATCAGCGCCTCGGAGCTGAGCAGTTGGTTTTGCTGGTTCCCTACGAGGATCAGCCCACGAATCGTGACTTGTTACTGTAACTGAACTGGGGTTCTACCCAGTTCTACCCAGTAGATGGGATAAGCCTAGACTTACTAAGTGGAACGATCCTCCGATCCGGAAATCTAGCTATGGAAAATCACTATTTTCAATAGGCAAAACATGTTACCAACAACACATCCAAACAATATGATATACTTATCACCAGAGGATCAATGAAAACACTGGCTATACGCAGTGATTTTGACTTTAAGTTTTCATGATTTAGGCTTTTAATTTAGGTTTTAGGGTTTTAGGGTTTTAGGTTTTAGGGTTTACCGTGTTTGTTGTTTTGGAAAGTAAACAACTTAAACCCTGCGCAGGGATTCGAACATGTCAAAGGATATGCGGGATTGGCCGCGGGCAAACCTAGGGGTTGCAGCGAACATGTATAAATGAACCATGGCTTCCAAAGCTATGTCAAATTGCCAGAGGGTTTCTAATCTTTTGCATTTAGAATGTTTTTTGAGTCACCTTGAGGTGGAAGATGTTTTTTGGGATTTTTGGGATCTTAGGTAGTTTCTTTTCTTCTTGAAAATATATTCTGAATGTTACGATAAATTTGGGGAGATCCAGTCTTGATGGATGCGTTTTCTTAGATGCTGAATGTCATTTTTCACAAGTCGGGGACCCCTGGGGAGGATTTCCAGCTAGGTGACATTACTGGAGGGCACCCCGAAAAGGTGAGACAAGAGCGGCTTTTAGCAGCTTCTAAGACCTCTTGCCCCAAATCCAGCCATGGTTCGGTGATTCGGCAAGTTTGGCCAAAATAAATAGATATCATTGCAGCATACGCCAGGGATGGATATGATATGGCCATGCGCCCCAAACCGCCGACCCTAGGTCCGGGGCCGAGCAGCGCGACGTGCGAAGGGAGAAGGAGCGTCAGTGCGCCAGGGGTACTGGCGCTTGACCCAAGAAATTGGGGTTGTACACCACCTGAATTTAGCATGGTCCCTGCAATTTACGGGAAGATGATTTTCCGCAATTGTATACGGTATGATATGGCCATGTTTTGGGTGGATCCATTTAGAATTCATTGGTGTAAATCCTAGTCGATACTGACAGGGATCCTCTTCCCAACTTGGCTAAACTGATGGGTCATGTGTTTCTGTACCCGGCAAGTTGGCTACTAACTTGATACTTCAAGAAGCAGCAAATACCATCCCAAAGCGTGGAACCCTGAGAATCACTTGTTTTTAGGGGAAGGTAGTCTTCCAACACCTATTTGACAGGGTCCATGTTGGTTGCGAATGGTATCACTTTTTTTGGGAGGCTTGAACTGAACTTTTGACCCTTACCCCAAATGGGCAGTGTTCAAAACCCCTGTTGATTGATGATTGTAGGGGCTACCCCTTGTATCGGGGATTGTCATAATCCATGGGCCGGGAATCCCTAGTAACCGACCAATAGAATTGTGAGCTCGATTGGTTAATTTTTGGGGTTATACATAGTTATACTGTATATAAGGGATTGCCACATTCCATTATGAGAAATTCTACTAACCACGCAGTATTGAACAATGCTCAAATGATCAAAATGGTGAAGGTGCCTCGGTTGTGCTGGCGAAAACCGACTCGGTTGTGCACGCGAAAAACAACTCAGTTGCGTGCGGATGATGATGATGATGATGATGATGATGGTGATGGTGATGGTGATTGTGATGGTGATGGTGATGGTGATGGTGATGATGCTTATGATGATTGTGGTGATGATGCCTTTGACGAAGATGCAGATGGAGATGAGGATGAGCATGAAGATGAAGAAACATAATGATGATGAGGAGAACGACCATGATGGGGAAAATGAACTTCATGATGACAAGGATGTTTCGCTTTCGATGTAGATTTCTGCTCCCTTCCTGAAAGTTGAAGTGTGATGGTAAGTCGAAGGAAGTGAGGGAAGTCGAGTAGCGCTTGTATCTGTGTAATGAAGTTAAGCAACAGGTGTGGCTGGTAGATCCTACCCTTTCTTCCCTACCAAGGCTGTGTGTAAAAGTGAGTCAATTTTGTGTGTACAACTGAGTCAATTTTGTGTGCGCAAGTGAGTCGCCGACCTCAAAGGGGATCAAAATACTTCAGAATTTTCCGTGTAGCGGGGAAATGAACTGTGTCTCCCAATTTTCCTAGATATTTGGATATTGTGTACTGTGTCTCCCAATTTGTTGGACACACCTAAGGTAAGTAAGGTGGATCTCCTGTCAGTTACAGCGTCTGGAAATATGGCCTGGCTTTTCCAATCGTTACTTTGGTGTCCAGAATCGTGAAACAAATTGGTGGCAAAACCGATGACTAAAGTCCGCCTCCAGATTTTAGAGTCTGTAGATTCTTGGTGCATCTGGAACCCCAAACTGGTTGGTTCCCCAGGCTGTATGAGAAGTCATGGAGAGTACTGCATTTATCTCTGGAAGTGGCACTTGCAAAATCACTCACATGTGCATCCCCTAACAAAGGTTACATACCCTTCGGCAATAAAAAATGGCAAGTTGGAAAATACTCAAACTAATGACGATTTATAGCTGGGAAAATAATCAATCAAACTATATAAGTGTCTTATTTTTTTTGAGAATACCGAAGGGTATGCATATCTCTTGATCCTCAAACAAAAACATCTCTGTACTTCATATTATTTTAACTTGTTTAATATAATTGCACTATATATATATATATCTACACACATCATACTTGTATACATCATACATATAGATAGATAGATAGATAGATAGATAGATAGATAGATAAGATAGATAAGATTAGATTAGATTAGATTAGATTAGATAGATAGATAGATAAGATAAGATAAGATAAGATAGATAGATAGATAGATAGATAGATAGATTAGATTAGATTAGATTAGATTAGATTAGATAGATAGATAGATAGATAAGATAAGATAAGATTAGATTAGATAGATAGATAGATAGATAAATAAGATACGATAAGATAAGATTAGATAGATAGATAGATAGATAAGATAAGATTAGATTAGATTAGATAGATAGATAGATAAGATAAGATAAGATTAGATTAGATTAGATAGATAGATAGATAAGATAAGATAAGATTAGATTAGATAGATAGATAGATAGATAAGATAAGATTAGATTAGATTAGATAGATAGATAGATAAGATAAGATAAGATTAGACTAGATTAGATTAGATAGATAGATAGATAAGATAAGATAAGATTAGATTAGATTAGATTAGATAGATAGATAGATAAGATAAGATAAGATAAGATTAGATAGATAGATAGATAGATAGATAAGATAAGATAAGATTAGATAGATAGATAGATAGATAAGATAAGATAAGATAAGATAAGATAAGATAGATAGATAGATAGATAGATAGATAGATAGATAGATAGATAGATAGATAGATAGATAGATAGATGGATGACAGCATTCACCAGCGCCAGCCATGTCTTTGTCCCTTGAAGCCGGCCCTTGTCGATTTTCGAAGCGTTCCAGGTACATGGCCAGATATAGCGAGATCCCGAGTACGGCCTCGGTCCGGGGACCAAGCCCTCGGCGACTTATGATGAAACGTGTATAGATAGCAAGCAAAAAAGTTGGAACAGTCATTGACTACTGAACTAGGGATATAAATGATGGTGTAACTATATATGATGGTTATATTGGGTAACTATAAATGATACAGTAACTGACTTTTCTATCTTTTTTTTTTGGGTTACTTACTATGATGGTGTTAATATTGGGTCAACCGCACTGTTGGATGCCCTTGGATATACATCTGAAGCTGATCTGCTCAAAGCTGAACTATGGAAAACCACCATTTTTAATGGGAAAATTCCACTATTTCGACTGGGCCATTTTCAATAGCTATGTTAAATTACCAGAGGGTAATCTAAATCTTCATCCACTCTACTTCCAATTTAGTCTAAGTCTAGTCTAATCTGATGTAATCTAATCCATCCTAAGCTAATCTGATCTACTGTAATCCAATCGCGATGCACATGTCTGAAATATTTCTGAAATTACAATACGCGACACACTCACACATCTCCCCACCAAGAGGACTTGACATTTCCCCTGCCATGTACCGGATCCAAAAAAGGATTATCAATTTGAAATTCAAAGACATCTTATTTTAACTTTTCTATTTCTTACCGGGTTCCGGGTTCCGGGTTCCGGTAGTTTTCAGCTCAATACTTCCAGCTCCTCCCAAGACTTTCAAGCCGAGGTGGCGGACTTCTTCCAACTGAGCAAGACCCCCGTCTTGGAGCATCCTACCATGAAGGTGCTGACAGATCGCGTGCGTGGCAAGCTGAAGCACTGGCAGGTTGGGCAGATGACTGACTTTGACCCTTCCAGTGAGAGATGAAGGGCTCTTGGCTTTAAGTTGGTTTGTCAACCAAAATGGCTGTGTCACCGGAAAGTCATGTTCAAAAACCATGATATTTTTGTGGCGTAGCTTATTGTCAGACAGGTCCTGGGTCCAGAACGCAATCCGCATGAAGCAGCTGAGGCAGGGGGGTGACTTTGCGGCTGATTCCGCTTTGAATTTAGCCCTTGAAAAACCATGAAAAAAAAATGGAACTTCCAATCAAACATGAGGTGCCGGAAATGATTTCATGAGCAAGTTCCATGATTTCCTAAAGAAAGCCGGGGTGGAAACATCTTCATACATGTTGAGCTTTGTTTACTACCAGACCTCTAACATGTTTTTTTCAAGCTTGGTTCTAAACAGTCTGCGATTCGCTGCTACACTCAAGAAACCTTAGATAACCGACCTGTTATCCGACCAACGGCATGGGTCCACTGGTTCTCCCTGGCAGATGATGCGTGGATTGCAAACCTTAGCAGCTGCCTGTGAGAGGTTCCTGGAGTCGCAGGATGGTGTGAACATCAACCAAATTTTGGGCCATTGGAAGAAAGAAACTGCTTTGTTTGGGCAACTTTTGCTCTTTTTTCCCATTTCCAGCATGTCTTCTGCGTTTTGGCGGGTTTCAACTCTTCTGGAATCATCTTTCCCCATCCAGCTATGAGGCTTCCCAGTTATAGCGAGTACAGCGCCACCAGCAGCAGCAAGGCTGGGGATGATGGGTGAATTGTTGGCTTTAAAATCTACAGATGGGGGATTGGACTCAGCGAAGAAAACAGTTTTTCTGCAGGGTATCTATCGGTTGTTGGAAATGTAGCCATTTTGGTGTTTTTCCAAAGTGGCAGACTCTGCAAACAACCGGAATCCTTACAAGACATGACTCATGTTATATACATGGTTTTAGGGTCACCAATTTTGCGTGAACCCACCATTTTCTGTTTATGTCGTAAGGGTGCGTTTTGAAGGATCCCTGAGCCGCCTGAGCATAAACACTACACTTGGGGGTTCAACCCCGGGTTCCGAGCTCGGGTTGACATTGCCTGCAACTGGCTGCTCCACCAGCACTGCTTGGAATCGCTTTGTCCAGGTGCACGAGCGTCTTTTTGGCTACTCCCAAGTGGTGCCCAGGGGGAACAGGACCAGAGATGGGGCTGACCACGTCCAGGTGTCAGCTCTGTTGGAAAGACGTTTTTCCGTGATTTTTCCTGTTGATCATGATGAGTTCACCGGCATTCTTTGGAATTTGGGCTGCCTTCCCAAGCAACCAAGCCTCCAATATTTGTAGCTTGGGAAGAATTGGTAAATAACCCTGGTGAAGAATTGATTGTTGGGATATCCCACTTGCACGCCACTTTCCAGTTGGATCACGCAATCAGTGGCTGAGAAGACCAGACCTGCAGGACCCTGAAGTCTGTTCCCAAGTTGAGAAGGACACCTCTTTCCAGGCGATTTGAGCGGGAAAAGTTTTAGGTGGAATTTGTGGTTCCCAAAGTCTTTTTTTGGGAAACACACACAGGTGGAATTCTGCTGGACCTTAGGGATTGAAGCCTTACCTTCTCAACAGATTTGGAACCCATGCCTGAGTTCTGGGTTATACACAGGTGGGCTGGGAACCTTCACGATTCTCAGTTCAAAAAAGTGGATACATACCCCGATGACTGAAGGCTTAATACGCTGACAACTGGACCAAATCTTCTATTCCCTTGGCATTAAATTTTGATCTGTAAATCTGATCATTTGGAAGTGACGAAGATGATCTTCTAGGGCACTTTTTGGGCACAAAACTGTCAGCAGGGAGACTCACCACGGGATCTGAAAGGATTTGCCCAAAAATTGGGTACCCAAAATCCAGTAGTTAATCCAACAAAAACCGACATGTTACGCTCATCCCCCTGGCAGTTCAGCGCCGATTCTACTGCGACCTCTTCTGGTTCTCCAAGCTGCAGTTAAAGCTGAGCGGGTGTATGCACTCCTTGATGCAGATATTGGAAACATGGGGACTCACCCAAGTTTTGGCCATCAATGGGAAACATGATGAGACACCATTGCCTTTTCTAATGTTACACTGTACATTTTATGGATCATTCTTTGGGCAAACGCAAATTCTAATGTTTATTTTCATTTGCCCATTGTAAAAAGTCCATTGCAGGATGGATGACCATAAACCATATACAATGTTTTGACCCTTCCGCACATGGTGATCTACCTACCAAATCGTGATTTACATGAGGATCTTGGAATATTTCATAGGATATCAATGAAATAGAACACACATAATTTAGATGGTCTTACGGCGTTACCCTCATCGTAATTAGTGGTTTTATGGTCAAACAATTCATAGGGCCGTAGGGCCATAGGGTTAACTATCCCCACATTGCCATATCTTAGGTTGTTGAATTACTATGCTTTTTCCAGATGTAATTTCTATCTGGAAAAATCACAGGGATTGGGGTTTATAGATATATATATATATATAACCAACCAAGTATATAGAGCTTTTTGTGGGACTAAGAGGGAATATGATTGGCAAATTAACCAAATGTTATACGGGAATATCATTTTTGGGCATGAGTGGGATATGATAGGGATTTGATTTGTCACGATCAGATGCTTAGTTTCATATCACTCGTGGGGGTTTGTCGAAAAATGGGGTGCCATTTTGAAGCCGAGCAAGGGCAAAGATTGGGCAGGCTGGGTAGTTGGTGGTCTCAGCGCTCAGGCCGGTTTTCTGATAGATTTAGTCAGGTTCTTCTACATTGCAGAGGACCAGTTGCCCTATGGGTGTGGCGTAGCTTGCAAAGTCTGGACACCAGACGTTGACAACTTGATTTGGAGGTTCGACTCCTCCCTGGTCCGCTTTATCATCTTCATCCAGTGCTGCATATCGTCCACATGGGATATTGCCTAATGAACATGATTTATAGCCACAATGCATAGCCACCTTCAGTGCTGCCTCACTGGAGAAAAACGGAAACTGTGAAGGGCAGAAGGTGAATTTGCGACTGGAAAGTCGCAGAAGCTTTGCGTGATCCAAATGGGGATGAGTAGATACCTATGGAACCATCGGCATATGGGAATGCATGCATATTCACCAGGTATTTTGACATTGTCTACGAGACCAGGATTTTGACCGATACCCAAACTCCGAATCTAATGGTGACTTCAGTGGCAGCAGAGGCAAGTTTCTAATTCCACACTGCTCTGCAGACAGGACATGTTTATATCATACATCATCTATCGATTGTTGAGGTTCTCAGGTCACGCACGCATTCATAACTGTACTATCTATATCATTCTATATCTATATCTACATAGGCAAGCCTCGGAGAAAGCCCCGAAAACCAGAGTGACCACCAGGCTCATCATTTTTCCGGAGATTTTGGGGATGAACATCCTGCCCAGCCAGCCGATCAAAACCACTCCCGAGAGCTGATTTCTCATCTGGGAGCCATGGTGATGGGTCAACATCCCCAAACAACACAGAACAAACGTGGCGCATCGTGGCGCAATCACATCCCCCTAAGAATGCGCCACGTTCACCTTCTGAGGATCCTGCAGAACTGGAGGCCATTTCAAGGCCCATCGGAGTTAGGGATGAAAACTATCATGGCAGGGAGACCAGACTCTAGGCACGCGGATTCTGTGAAAAGTGCAGAGCAAAAGTCATGGCTCAGGAAGACGTGAATCTTTTGAATGCTTACTGTGTTGTTGTTGTTGTTGTCGTCCAAATACCAGGATCACGAATGCAACCAATATTGGATGGCCAAGTCTCCAAGTCATCCAATGAGGCCCACAAGAATAGGTTCTACATCCTATTATTATCTACCATACTATTTGCCACATCTACATACCCAGTCCCAGTCAGGCCCGGTGGCACTGCAGTGCAGTTGAACGACTGCGTGGGGTCACCCAGTCGGGGTGGCGGAACTTGTGAGGCGATGAGAGAGTAACTTGGGACCATTAAACAGCTGGCGATATCCAGTGAAACGTTCGATTGTATTCGATTTTGATGGTGAAATCTAAGTGAAATTTGACAGCTGTAATTTCTTCAACACAATGATGATATTTAATTCAAGGTACCCAATGTTTTGTCTTTTCTTTTCAACAGGAATACCATAAAATTCTTAAACTGAACTGGCCATGGCTTTGCAGCCTCTGGGGAATTTCTCTTGAAGACTATCACGTAGGGTTGGAGCCATACCTCCAAATTCTCGTGGACGATACATTGGTAAATGCTTTATTCGACATTTAGCTAGCTATGAGATTTGATATTATATAGATATGAATATGGATATACAAGCATTTATATATACATATTTATTTATTATTATGATAAATAACTGGATGATAACATATCCATAGCTAATATACCGACATTTTTCCTGCACCCAAATTCCAGCAGATCCCGGGTCAACTCGGAAGGAACCGCTGCAGCGCATGAAGAACATCGCCCGCTCATCGCAGTCGCAGGTTCTTACCGCGATGATTTGGCGGTGAATACTTGTGGGTTCCGATTCCAGGAATAAGTGATATTTACAAAAAAACCATAGTTACCCTCTGGTATACATACAAAAAACTATGGAAAAAACTATGGAAAGATCCAGCATTTTCAATGGGTAAATCCACGAACTAAATCACCATTTTCAATAGCTTTTTGTTTGTTTACCAGAGGGTATAGTGCGCATATCCCCAACATATGTAGGTTATTACCATGGTGCACATTGATATCCTGAACTGCACCTCCAGTATGGCTTTTCCGGCAGATGAAACCCTGGTGCCGGAGGTTTTTCAGCCCCTTGAATGTTGCACAGGTTTAACTAGTTTTAACTTATAGCCGAGCGACGATCCTGGGTGAACTTTGAGACCCCGAAATTGGATGTTCGACCAATGTCCGACCAACTGATCCAATAATTTTTGAACCAGACCCTCTTTGTTTTCCAGGTGTTGAGATGGTTTTTTTCGACATGGTCCCCCCAGACTACAGCCAGGTGCAAATGTCCATGGGCCCCACCGATTGGAGTACCACCTCCAGGGAAGCTTGGTGCGAGAATCTCCAGGGTTGTACCTATCTTGGGGTTTAAAGGTTGTTGAGATGTGAAGAAAAACAGCTTGAACAACAGAAACAATCAAGCTCGAGAAGGAACCAGTAGCACCATCTAAGACTTGGGACTTTCATTTCACTCTTCCAGTCTTCCACAAAACGAAGTTACGTATGAGTATGATGATGATGATGATGATGATGATGATAAGGATGATGAGGATGAGGGATCCGTCTCCCTCCCTCTCTACAGGGAACCTGTAGAGATGGTGATGGTGATGATGCTGGTGGTGGTGGTGCTGGTATTTTTCCTGCCATCATTTTCCAGCCCAATCTATGGCTCGGTGCCGGTGACCTCAGGACATGGCCAAGGATTATGCTTCTTGAGGCAAGTGCCTCAAGGCAAGCGGTGCCAAGAAACCACAGCTGCAGCTTTATCGACACCATCGAACAATCACCATCGATATATGCTACCAGGCTACCAGGCACCACTTGCAGCTGCGGGCCCGTTTCACCAACCTGTTGGCATCTTCTGGAGTCATCCTGTGGTCCCGACAGCAGCCTGTTTCTGGCTGTTCAAACTAGAGAGCCACAGAGGTAAACTGATTTACGTGTCAAACTTGCATGTTCACAATCCATTGACTGATTTGTTGAACCTGAATTTCCAGAACTTTGCCACCGAGGGCCCAGTGACAATGTGCCGCAGGAGGGGGGTCCTTAAAGGGGAACCCCCCCGCTGACGACGGCTGACCAGTTTAGAAATGTCCGAAAGATCTGGCACACTACTCTTGCCGTTGTTCCATGTTTGTGCCCAGTGCTTTTAAATCCCATCGCTGCTCATAAAATTGCAATGTCATGAACTGCGTTTCTGAGTCATTGGTATGCAGGGAAAGCCGGATACTGCTCATGGCTGACGCGAAACATTTTGGGTCTGAGAACATCTCTTGTGCAAGCGTTAGTACAGGATGTTGAAATCAAAGTTGGACAGTGGACAGGGATCAGTGAGTTTCTTCTCTGGTCCAGTCAATTGAAAGCTTGCTGTGGTTTCTTGGAGACATGTGCCCCGAATTCCTGTGCAATTTCAAGCGACAGGGAGAAGGACATAACAAAGAGATCCGACTTGAGATGGGATTTTCAAGACGTACTCGCGCATCTTTTAGGGATCGTTTAGTTTCAGCAAATGGCGCACTCATAGAATTGTGAGAGAACTTCAATGTAAGGTTCCTTGTCATGTCGTCAATTTACTGCTTGACCACATGGCCAGTGCGGCCTTTCAGAAGCGATGTGTTCGAGTGTGTTGCTTGCTGTGCCTTTGGGTCCTCCTGCTACACGCACCTCCATGCGGCTTTGGGAAGATAAAGCAAGTGCCCTTGTCAGAACTGCGCGAAATGTGACAAAGCGATGCAAAAAGCCCTTCACTGTCAACGGCTTGGGCCAAGAAATGCCTGAAAAAGATGCAGCTGCCTCCCGCTCTTTGGTGCTGATTTGCACCAGGATGAGACTTGCAAACACCTCTCTTGTTCAAGGTTTACATGGGTAGATTTGGGCCCATCCCTGCTTATCGAATGCGTCAACCAAGGGTGTTCAAGAACCCTTCTGGTAGTTAAGCCAACTCTTGCTCCTGGGCGATTGGTGCACAGTGCTTGCCTATCTATCATTTTGCACTCTCTTTTGGCTCTTGGCGCTTGCAGCTAACTACCTATGGGCTTTGGTTGCTGCATCTTCACTTCACTCCCATTGGACAGGCTGTGTTGGAAGGCTGCAATAGCTACCCCTGTTGTTTTTGTTAGCAGAACGACGTGAAGCATTTCGGCTCTGAGACAAAAAGAAGCATATGTATCTCTTTCTGCAAGTGTTTGAATACGACCAGGGGTAACTGGAGTAGGTATGGGCTCTTAAGTTCCATGCGACAGTGCTCACAAAGGCCAGAATGTCAAACCCAACTGAAGAGATTGAAGGGTTGATTTCTCCATCGCATGTGTTTGAAGTTTGCCTTTCGGCATTCAATACGTGTCACTCTTCAGGAAGCCGATTCTTTTTCCTGCCCCAGGAGCATTTGCGCAGCTTTAGCAAACATGAGACCACAGCAGTAGCCAGCAGATTTCTTCCTCACTTGGAAATTATTTTTCATTTTATTCAGAACCTCCATTTTCTCGCCATGCCACAGGCACGGCCGGTAGAAGGAGCTGACATTGCGAGGGTACATTGTAGTGCAGAAAAGTCACCAAACGGACAGCATTTTACACATGTCTTGGCAGGTGTTAAGTGCTCTTCTAGTTTGACCCTTGTCACATCATGAAAAAAAATATCAATGTTTTGAAATCGGGGGTAATAGTGGTATGTACCGTACCGGCGGAGGCTTCTAAGCAAGAAATCCACGCGACGTGGCCAGAACGATGAGATGCAAGGAAACGAGAAAACCGGAAAACCAGAAAACCGAGAAAACCAGAAAACCGAGAAAACCGAGAAAACCGAGAAAACCGAGAAAACGAGAAAACCGAGAAATGCGGCCAATAGTGCTAGTCTCCTCGGCGTTTTCCTGTTCTCGCGGTTTTCGCGTTTTCGCGGTTTTCGCGTTTTCGCGGTTTTCGCGTTTTCGCGGCTTTCAATGCTCTCGCAGTTTTCGTGGTTTTTGCGTGTTTCGCGGTTTTCGTAGTTTTCGTAGTTTTCGTGTTTCGCGGTTTTCGCAGTTTTCGCGGTTTTCGCGATTTTCGCGTTTTCGCTGTTTTTGCTGTTCTCGCAGTTTTCGCGATTTTCGTGGTTTTCGTGTTTCGCGGTTTTCGCAGTTTTCGCAGTTTTTGTTTTTTGGCTGCTTGCGCCGTTCTTGTTGTTTTCGCATTTCCGCCTTTGATATTTCCATGCCATATTATTTCCAAACAGAAATCTAAATAGAGAAGTGCCGGTTGCCTTGTCATAACAGCCATTTGCAGACTTGCAAGCACACACACACACACTTACATTACATGTCTCTTACCTTTACATTTACAATCAACTATATATATATACACATAATATGCGTACTACACTTACATGTTCATGTACTTGCATTTTTGTGCACACACCAACCCCTCCATCTGCTCATACATCAACACATAGATACATAGATACAAAATGATACACAGATACAAAAGTGCATACATAGGCAGAAAGATAGATACAAAAACATATTTCGAACACATCACAGGACACTCCCATGCAATACAATACAAAGGAGTACAGCACAATACAACACAATACAAGACAGACAATACGCTACGCCACGTTACTTTACAACACAACACATACGGACAAACACGCAGTACATTATGTTAATTTCGTTTCCTGCCCTTCCCTTAGATTACCTGCATTGCATTGCATCAAACTACATTCTACTACATTACATTGCACTACAGTATATTTCACTACATTACAATCCATTGCGTTACACTACGCTGCATTGCAATGATGTAATTCCAAGGGTACTAACAGGAACGCACAAATAAAGGTACATACATAGAAATATGGATGTATACATAAATACACTGATTCTAGCATAGATGCATATGCACACATGTATGGCAAACATCCTTACACACACACACACGCCAAAGATACCGAGATTCATAGACGCATAAATGCACAACATGCTACGACGTTACGCTGCATTTCATATACGTAGATCATGTGAGAATCGTACATACATCGGTACATGCATGTTTTCGTTGTATTCACCGTCCGATTCATGGCAAGGCATTCCATAATGTTCACACATAGAGACATTCATAGATACATAGAGACATACATAAATTCATAGAGACATATATAGAGATATACATAGAGACATACATAGAGACATACAAAGAGACATACATAGAGACATACATAGTTACATAGAGACATACATAGCTGTACACATACAAAGATACATACAAAGATGCATCCCGCTTCGTTGTGCGGCATTACATTTTGTGTTACGTGACGCCACACGACACCGCAATGCTGGATTTCACATAATACACGCTCATCCATGCATCCAAAAACACTCACATATACGTTGCATTACATGCATAAACGTGTATGCCCGTAAATTAATGTACATCTTATATATATATATATATGTAATATATATATATATATATGTATATAAATGTATAATATATATATATATGTAAATAAATAAATATATATATGTATAATGTATAATATATATGATATATGTAAATATTATATATATCATATATATATATAACATATGTATATATATATATGTAAATCACATTTATATATATATATATGTGTAATATGTATATATATATATGTATAATATAAATATATGTATAATAGATATATGTATAATATATGTGTATAATATATATATATATATGTAAACCATATATATATATATTTGTAATATGTATATATATATATGTATAATATATATATGCATACGATGTATATTTATGATATATATATATATATGTAATATATATATATATATGTTGGTTGAAATTACAAGGCATTACATCACATGCATCATATTACAACGCGCTGCGCCAGCTACATAAATTTATACAAAGATCGATGCAAAGAGAGGCACATGCGTGCATACATACGTCCGAAACATGCATGCACACGTGCCTGCAGGCATAAAGGCAGTCCGTTAAGTTTCATTATGTTGCCACTTTTCCTTTTGCTTGCATTGCAATGCACCACCTCGATACATACATACAAACAAACAAAGATGCCAGCATAGATGAGAACATAAATGCAGACTATGACTACAGGAATATGCATAAATATGTCCGTCGAATTTTGATGAAAACACAGATGCATAACAAGAACACTAAATACAGGTAGATTGGATGACAGAAAATTAAAGGTTGGGAAGGATTAGACAAGCGATAGAGGAAATTTAGATAAATAGATAGATAGATAGATGGATGGATAGATAGATAGATAGACAGATAGATAGAGAGATAGAGAGATAGAGATATAGAGAGATAGAGAGGTACGTAGGTAGGTAGGCAGATAGATAAGGCGAAGATAGGTGATATACAGATGGACGGGTAGATAGATAGACGGCTTGGTAGATTGATCGATAGATAAACAGAGAGATGACGAGAAAGAGAGAGAGAGAGAGAGAGTGGGATAGATGCATGGATACATAGACACATAGATACGTAGATTACATAGATACATAGCTTAGACACACAGATACATAGATACATAAATAAATAGATACGTAGCTAGATACTTAGATACATACAGATAGCTTAGATGCATAGCTGAGATACATTGCTTAGATACATAGCTTAGGTACATAGCTTACATAGATAGATAGATGGATGGATATGATAGATCGGATAGATTAGATAAAACAGATGGACTAGATAGATAGATTAGAATAGATAGATAGATTAGATAGATTAGATAGATTGGATGGACGAGGGATGGATGGATGGATGGATGGATGGATGGATGGATGGATGGATGGATGGATGGATGGATGGATGGATGGATGGATGGATACGTAGGTAGGTAGGTAGCTAGCTAGCTAGGTAGGTAGGTAGGTAGGTAGGTAGGTAGGGCTAGAATGAAATATAGATCTATAGATACCGTAAAAAACATTCACATCACATGAACCTGCATTCCACTACTCTGTACTTGAAGTCCCAGTGCAACACAGATCAACACCGCTATTGCAGCGCAATATAATTATTTTGCATTGACTGTCCAACTTTCGCGCTCTTGTACTTCCGTGCGCGTTTTCGCGGTTTTCGCGGTTTTCGCGGTTTTCGCGGTTTTCGCGTTTTCGCGTTTTGCTGCGCGTTTTCGCGTTTTCGCGCGAAAATGCCGCGCATCACCGGGGCCGAGACACACACACACACACACTTCCTGCACAGAGGCTTGCACCAGAGCAAATCTGTTCCGTCCAAAGTCCACTGGAATCAACCTCTCACGTTTGCAGAGCTGGGATTCTGGTCTTCTTGATCGCATCTGACTCGTCCAAAAATCCGGAAAGAATGGAACCAACACACCACTCTTCAATTTGGCATCGTAGTCCTTGAAAAGGCACATGTGACCTTTTATCTAATCATCTTCCTGGCCAGGTGTGGGCTTCGGCCTTCACAATCAGGTGGGGAGAAAGCTTGCCCTGATGGGACGGATGCAAAAGTGAAGTGTGGCAACGATGGCACTATCTGTGACACAGCACCGAAGAAATACACGCCCTTGCACTTGAGTTCTTTGTTGATCCACAAGATCTCAAAGATGGGTTGCATGGTTTAAACATGTAAAAGCCAATGTCAAGCGGATTCGGTTTGTCCAAAGTCTTGAACAAGTCAAGTTTTTATTGAATCGCTCCTTGCCTGAAAGCAATGGATAGTTTACATTTTATTCATTTTTTGGTTGCTTGTAGCGCAAGTGCCCAAAAATCCTCAGCCATTTCAAGCTGCCCAGAAGGAAATAGCACGGACATGCGGTTTGAGTTTTGAGATGGGATTTGCCGGTGCTGCCTTTCAGAAGCGCTGCATTCTTGTTTGCAGTTTGCTGTGGCTCCATGTGCATACGCCATCATGTGGCTTTGGAAGGGCAAAGCAACAGCCTCTGTCAGAGTTGCGTGAACGCACTGGTCTTGCAATCCGAAAAAGCGCTAGAGGACGGAACGATGGGACTGTACTAAGCAAGGAAGAAAAGAAACTTGTCAGCAAAATAGCGGCTGCAAGCGAGGACAGAAATTGGCCTGCTGCTAGATCACTTTTTTCTGGATATGTTGGCAATGCTTCACCAGTCTATGGAGTCGCAATGAATGCAGCGTTTAGATGCAGGCAATACAAGGATGGAGCCAAGATCTATGAACAGTGCCGGACCAACTGTGAACTCGTTGACCAGCCTGCATTTACTGTCGCCCTCCGCATCTTTGCAAAGCTTAAAGATGCTACTCAGGTACAGCAAATTTGGGATGATGCGTTGAAGGCATATCCGTTGGATGAAATCCTTGGATCAGCCCGGATCGCTGCAGCTGCTGATTTTGGGGATGTGGAAATGGCTGCGGAAACGCTGGACACTATGAACAACAGCAATGTCTCCATTAATGTTTATCACATCAACTCCGCAATGCGAGCATGTTGGGGCTGGGGTGACAAACAGCACAAAGCTGCAAAGTACTTTTTTGATCTGTTGTCCAATTTCACACTCTCCCCAACAATTGTTTCATTTACATCTTTGATCGGAGCTTTTAAAACTGCGAGTTTGTGGCGCATAGTGTCAGCGTATGATGAGATGAAGGACCTGAAGATCCCCCCAGATGCGGTTTTCGCAGAGACCTACATATTTTCTTTGCTGCAAACAGGGAAGAGGGCGCACATGCGTGTTGAAGAAAACCTTCATGAAGCATCCATCGACCGTTTACGAGCTGCGCGAGAGGCTTTGAATGATTTCAAAAGCGCAGGTGTGAAGATGCATAAAGTCTGCACAGATCTTGACAAGGCATTGACGCGAATGGGTATTTTGTAGGTACTTGAAGGATCAGAAAAGAGTTCATGAAAAACAGGTTGCAAAAACGGAGAGCACATTCACGGCGCCAACATGCAAGCTACAGCTATAAAGTTCTGCCAAAGTTCTGTGAAAGGACTTTTCTGTTTCCAATCTGAAACATGGCAGTTTTTTTTCGTGAATTTGGAGAAGTTCCGTGTTCCCAAGACATCGGATTAAAGCATTTCTACTTTTGGGGGCTGTCATCAGATTTCAAATCAATGAATACCTTGATCTGATCTGATGATGTGTTGGTGAAGACAGACGAGGATCTCTTCCAACTGCCATGCTCCTCCCCCCAATCAGCTGTTCAGCTGCCACCTTTGCGAGGCGGCGCTTTTCCCGAGGTTTGCTTCGATGCCAGGTCGGCCTATCGCTGCTTGCTTCCAGTGGCGAAACCATTCAATCATTTGACCACCAAGAACCATTCTCTATCTTGATCCTTGCAATGTCGGATTCATAGTCACGTCAAGAAACAAAGATTCTTTTGCTTTGCAGTTGCAGTAGGTCCTGGTGGCGATCCTACTGGCAATGTGGTTGCGGAACTCAGCTCTTGCGATGCGGGCATAGTCTACTAGACATCTCACAAATTGCACCGTGCCCGCAGTTTTGTATAGGAGGCCGGGCTTGCTACACAATTCAGAAACCATACTGAGTTCAAGTTCTGGGGCAAGACTCAGGATTTATCTCAATTTTGGTTAGGAAACTAACAGACTTTTCCAGATTACAGTGGTTGAAGTTCCGGATAGTTGACACATTCCTCCAAATCGGATGTCTTTGATGTGTCTTATGTTGTTTTCCAAACAAATCAGCGGGTGCCGAGGAGATTTTCCGCTTTTGCAGCGCCGAAGGTTGGTGAAAGGGTCGGCCCAAGGAACCGGTCGACTGAGTCCTTGACATGATCAGAATCGCCCCATGTAACGAATGGCTAAGGAGAGGGCTTCTCAGTGTCATCCCGGGATGTATATATATATATATAGATAGTATATATAGATAGTATATATATATAATATATATAATATATATATAATATATATATATATACACTGCCAGTTGAATATGGGTGTCCTCCAAATAGTGATAATTCCAAGTAGTATAAATGGAAAGAGACCCTGATACTGATATTATTCAACTGTCTTTGAAATGCTGAGTTGACAGTAGCATGAATGAATACTTTTGTTATCAATTTTGAACCGCTTTTTGGGGAAATGGCGAGTTCAAACCATGTTTCACTTCATTTCAGCCCACCAATTCATTTTTTCCACTTTGCGGCTTGCCGAATTGCCAGATAGGAGCAAGTCAGATTAGCATTGAAGGTAGGAACTCAATCACACAGCAAACCAAAGAGGGGAATGGTTGCCCAGAGGTGACAGGGGTTCTTGCAGCCTCTTCATCATATTGCCACTCACTGTTCCCATACTTAGTGCTTCGTTGAGTCTCCGTCTTTGGCAGCTTACATCCTGACTTCTTCGCATAGCCAATCTCTGATTTCTCGTTGATTAGATCTGTGCTTCTGTTCTCTAAGTCCCAAAGTTTCTGTGGACACATCCACTTTTTCATGCGTGTCAGGTTGTTGGCGAACCTCCACATTTGAATCCAAACTTACTGTAGTCTTTGAAGCGTAAAATGATAAAAGGGTTACATCACTAGTGGCATCACTATTTTTGTTGGCGAACATGCTGCTCAAATCACGATTGTAGGCGATGAACACACCCCATTGTTGGCTAAATCTCATTTTGGTCAGTGAAAAAGCCATTGTTTTTGCCGGTGAGATCGCAACTCCTAATATCATGTTTTTTGGTGACATCCCTAGGAAAAACCATCCTAAATCCTGGGATAGATATAGCTTCAGGTGGTCCGGGCCGACAAAACGGATGCATTGCTCCAACGGGGGGAGGCCCACTGGAGACGACTGGGGTATGATGTGTTAACGAAGGATGAATAAAGCACCAGTCTACCAATGGGGGTACCAATTTTACCAGAATTGTATGGAATTACATGGAATCAGATGGAATTATATGGAAGTACTTAAATCACGATTTTGGGGAACTCCCCCTATTGGTAAAATGAAGTTTTATGAATCCTAGATGGACCTTACTGCTGAATAAATCACAGCAGGGATCTTTTTGGAACGTTACTACGGGGGGGAATTCATAACTTTAAAAATTGGTTATGTGGTTTTGAACAATGGTTGTTATAAATTGAACCTTTTAAAAATTACCTAATGGTTTTAAAATTGGTTATGGTTATTCATAACCTTAGAACATTTGAACGTTTATTTTTTTGGGGTTTACTGTGACTGGGATGTGATGGACAATAGTGGGACCCACGTCAGTCTCATCCGAGTGGACGGACCGGAAAAGAACGGCCTGGCAGATAATATGGCCGGGTCTGTCCAAAGTTAGCGGAACCTTGGGCTATTTATGAAGGTAAACAACTTGTAAACAGCGATGTCATGCTTGGACAAATCCTTCTTCTTGCGTGAGCCAACGTCAAGATGGCCTTCAGGAAAAAGAAACGACACTTCTTGATGAATCATATTGATTAAAAACCTTTGACATTTGTAAATTCCCTCCTTTGTTGCTTGAACTACTGTAGAAACACATTCGGATTGCCATGTCCTCACCCTTCCGTTGTTTTTGGTTGCCACTTCGCAGGTGTTGCCTGGCAAGGCAGGGACAGCTGGGCTGACTTGTGGGGTCCAGTGCCCATCATCCTATAACCTGAGGATCATGGCGACTTGGGGCCTTGAAGTCTTTCAACTTTTCCCATGACACGCTGCCCTGTTTTCGTGGTGAATTGAGGCTTCAAGGATGGGACAACTTAGAATTTGGAAGGGACGTGCGCAAATCCTTATCCAACAACCCACAGTAAAGTCTCAGCTTGAAAAGATCCTAAGTGTTACAAGTGCTTAAAAATGGATTTGCCGCAGGTGAAAACCGTCAGGGACAATGGTCTGGTGATCCAAACCAAGAATGGCGACGGATTTGCGCACCTTGATGGCTTTAGCGTGATGGGAAGGAGGTCTGTACACCGGATCACACCAGATCTTTGACATTCTGTATACATTCTGTATTACCTTCAGTCGTTGATGGCTTCCATTGCCGGACATCTACGCTTTGATTGCTATGAGGGCCTCCAAGAAAACAGGGGCAAGTGCGTATCGGACCATCCGCTTACCTTGGGGTTAGGACCTTGCAATAAATACACCCAACCAAACCCCTGTGGCCATTCCCAAATCATGGTGAAAATGGATCCACGCATCCAATTTCCGACTAAAATGCATGATCGGCAGTATATTTGGGATGTTGAAGATGGCTGATTGTACCCCAAGTATAGTCCCAATTAATTGGAATTCGATCTATACCTCCAAATCAACTCATGTCAACCGACAGTTAACCGATGGTTAATCGATGGTTGGTGGTTAAACATAAACCACCATTGTTGGTGATTATCTCCCAATTGCAAGTATAATTCCATTTACAATTTCCAATTATCTTCCCAATCATAACTCCATTTCTAATCCCGACTATATTATTCCCAATGAACTATCATTGGTTTGATTTCCTCCCAAGGTCAATCCGGATCCTCATCCCGGAACTCATCATTTTTTCCAACGTACTAAAATCAACTGATGCTTAATACCACCCTATACTCCCACCTCTTTTGTTGCTTGGACTCTGTGAGAAATGACCGATCAATGTGGGAAACCGAATAAACCACCCATATGGATTAAACCAGTCCACATTTTTTCACATTTTGATGGTGTTTTTCCTGGTTTACAGCCCGAAAAAACTGCTTCAACAACTCCCAGGCACATCTCCCAACTCTCGGATCGCTTCCTGGGGCACCCGGCGGAACTCTTCGACGAGCAGGACCAGGTGACGGCCCGCGTGCTGCGTGGCTTGGTGGGAGCGTTTTCCAGGCGGCTTTTGGGAAGAGGGAGATGGACGAAACATGTTGGGGGTTTATGAATGTTGATCCTTTGATTCACCTGAAGGTGTTTATAGACCTATATGAATGTTGATCCTTTGATTCACCTGAAGGTGTTTATAGACCTATATGAATGTTGATCCTTTGATTCACCTGAAGGATGAAGAAGGACTTAGACATACTTAGAAGTTATGGGGTAGCACAGCAATGCCAAGTTGATGGTTGTGTGATGGTGATGTCTGGGTCTATCCATCAATGTGTTTTGCAGCATGGGGGTGATTGACAAGGCAGTAGGTAGGATTGTGGGTATCTTTTGGATCTGTTGAATGTCAATTGAGTGTGTTGCAGTTGTGGATTCCAAACCTAATTATTTGTTATCTTTACGAATACGGCTGGGACCATGCCTATATCAGGGAGGCAGCCACCGCTTAGACGCAAAAAAGGAGGGTTGGCCCCCTTTGAGTCCCACAGTCGTTGGCTTCCAGGGAAGGGAAAGGGACAATTGTGAAAAGTGAAAACATGATCTTGTGATTTAGAATGTTATTGTGCTTGTTCCCTCTTTTATCCTCTACCCCTCTGGTCAACATAGACATGACCATAAAAGCTTCCAAATTTTGGTGAGGCTTCACCACCGCGCCAAGGTCATGAGAACGGCTTCTTGGAGTTGACTCTCAGGGAGTTGGGCACCAAAAAGCTGAAAGATTTCAAGGTCAACCAGGCTCCAGCAGCGGAGATGGGCCTTGAAATTTCGGGTCACTTGGTGACCTAAATGGCACGAATGTTGATGCGATTTTGGTGACGGACCCGGTTATCACCATTTTCCCTTCACAAATTGTCATAAGCATGGGGCATACCCTGTTTGTTGGCAAACCCACTTCTTGACAGTATTATTCTTTGAATCCTGAACTTAGTGGAATAAGTGGAATATGATCATGATCATGACAAACATGCTGTGCTAATGTTGAACGATTCCTGTCAAGACTTTTTTTTTCAATTGCAACGCAACTCTGATCTACACGGTATAATTGTGACTTGCAATCAAAGCTACCCTCTGGTAAACTAACATAACTATGGAAAATCACCATTTTTAATGGGAACATCCACTATTTCTATGGTCATTTTCAATAGCTATGTTTAATTACCAGAGGGTACATTTTGTGTGATTCTTGCCCTTTTGTTGGAGGGATCCCCCTTTGAAAAAATTGTTGGTTCAATCCCCATCTTTTTGAAAAGAATCCCGACTGTGGTTACCCCGCGTAATGTCAAACCGCGAAAAAAGGGGATGAACATCCCATTTGTATACCAGGTAATGAAGTTGTAGTAAGTCATTAATTAATGAAAGACTCATTTATCATTATAAATTATTACTATTCACCATTAACCATGACAGTGAGAAAACGAGGCGACCCCGAACCTGACGCATGGCTGTGTGGGCGCTGTGCGGCTCGCAGGAATTGAATGGTACGGTGACGGCCGTCTGCGGTGCTGGCGCGGGGTCCAGGGGAAAAATTCGCTGGAAAGGAAGAGCTTGGAGGGCTTGATCTATGACGAGTCTTTTTAGTCCAAGATTTTGTTGGAAGATTGGATCAGAAATTCTAAGATTCTAAGATTCTAAGATATCAATTGCCAAAAATGGGTATGTAATGGGTACATTATAAAGTAATATAATCATTGAAGCTGGTAGTAATTTTTGGTGAGATCTTTCCAGCCAACAAAGGGGGTATGACCAGGAAACATGGGAAGATATAACTATATAATTATAACATACTACAACCGATCATTGTTTGAATGGGTTGATTTACCAACAATCAATAGTGATAGAAGCCAAATCTTGGGTGGTTTCCAGGGTTGATGACTGGTTGGTGGTGTCGTTTTTTTTTTGGTTAGTTTTTCCTGAAAATAGGATGATGATCCCGAGTATCAGGTCATTAGGGAATTGGAGATGGTTATGATGGTTATGATGGTGCATTTTTTTTGCCAAGTCACATATTTCTGTCTTGTTCATTATAAATTGTTTTATTCTTTTTAAAAAATTGACCGTCCATTTTTTGGGGCATTGCAAGAAATTGACTCATACCCGCATGGATCTGTTTTAAACTCGAAATCTTGCCATGTTAGGTCCCCTGAAATGAAGCCTAGGTGCAAACGTGGAGATCGGGGCTGAAGACACGGCCTTCCTCCACGTAAGCTGCATCCAGGACCGCTGCGGCTTGAGAGAGCTTGAAAATGAGAACGTGCCGAGAGCATGGGCAAGATTTTGGCACGCACACATGTATATATATATATATGTATGTATAGATGCTTATATTATCTATATTATATATAGTATATATTATATATATATAGTATATAACATATATATATATATATAATATGTGGATTTGTCCATAGAGTACACCAAGGTTTATCATCAGTTTCCCATTGGAAACGCCATTTTGGGGTGTTCCCCATTTCCGGACAAACCCGGAATATGGCAGGGTAAGCAGATTCTCACCCAACCCACTTGCAGGGAAATTGGGCATTTGACCCTCTGCGGTCTTGGACCCTGATGTTTTTCCTGAAATCCCTCACTAGCCTTGCCACTCTTTTGTTGATTTTACTAAAAAGAAATACTTCACTCCTAGGCATTTCTTCAGGTTTCACCACCCTTCTTAGTTCTGAAACTTCCCCCGAACAAATCCATCCACTCTGGACTTCTCGCAAGCCCTATGGGTGGCCTGACCCCACTGGGCAAGGACGACTTCCTGATGGATGCCACTTGAACCTGAACGCTCCGGGCAGGATGATGGGTCAAATCTGCCCAACAAGACCTGAGTATAGACCAGCCAGGAAACTAATCGTTTGCTATGGAAAATCACCCATTCAGTTCGATGGTTTACCTATTACTGTCATGGTGATTTTCAATAGTTATGTCATATTACCAGAGGGTATATCTACATATTTTGTGCCTTGCCCCATTTTGTATCATTTTGTTCCATTTGTGTCGCTCAAGTCCATATTGGGTACCTAAAAATGGGATGGTTTCATGAAAGAAAAACACTGGCAGGCTTGGCCCACATCAACAGGGGCTGTCTAGTCTTGTGTCCAAGCAAACTGATCCCCTCCTGTATTCCTCTGGTTTTGAACTTTTCGGAGGTTCCAATTTGGTTGCCAAGTGATTGCCCCAAACAATGTTAGACACACGTGGTTTTTATTTGTTTGGCCCCTAATGAATCGGTTTTGCCAAGTCATTTGTTATTGTCTCCCACTCATTTCAGGCCCGCGAGAGACTACAAAAAGGCGACAAAGTCCAGGCCCGGTTCGGCAAAAAGTACACAGAGTTTCCAACCGCGAGACCCTTGGAATTTGCTGAACAATTGGGTACAAAACCCCCCCAAAAGATTCCAAAGATAGATTTATCAGATGATGTTCCTATGACACTTTGAAGCTGCCATTTTCGGCAGCTGCACCTGACAGGTCTGGGTCAAAAAGATCGACCATAAAGGGATGAAGGCGCGCGATGTCGTGGCTCAAACCTGGGCAGTTGCACCAGGATCTCGGCAAAAAAACAGGATCCTGGACCCACACCAGGTTGTATAGATTTTTCATATCAACCATCCCATGTCTCCAATTTTGGAGATCCACAAGTTCCAAGGGTCAGTTTCTTTGGAGGTCACGATGCTCGAGAGCCAACGAGCGGGGACTCTCAAGAGGTCCCAAGCTGGAACAAGCACTGAATGTTCGATGATCCTCCAGGATTCTCCCAGATTTTCGGACCAAACGTTTGGATTTTTAGGTTGCCACTGATTTAAAAAAAAACCTGAGGGTCTCCCCATCCCACTGATTCCCCGAGGAAAAGAAGACCATCGCCAAAGGACTGAGGCGTGGGGCAAGTGGGCAAGTGGGGCGATGCTCATTGTTGGATCTGCTATGTTTACTTTGAGACCATACCCTCTGGTAATTTAACATAGCTATAGAAAATCACCATTTTTAATGGGAAAATCCACTATATATGGTCATTTTCAATAGCTATGTTAAATTACCAGAGGGTAGTTTATTGGAACAGCTATTGTTATTGAATTCAATTCCAATAAACATAATAAACTATGGTCT